CCTCTTTATATACTAAGAAAATCCTCCATGATCACTAATACAAAAAGAAAGTCCTTGGCGTCGCGCGCAGCCACGATTCCTCTATCTGGTTCCGCTATCTTCCGTTGCGCAGCAACACATGCCAATCGTTCATACAAAGAAAACCCAATCACACAACCAAGAAAACCACAACCAATATATGCAACGAAGAACCCATGCATATTCCGTCTCCATAGTCGGGTGGCCGTAACACATATCCTGGCTAATATTGGTAAAATATTAGACCCAGTAAGCCCATTATCCATACTAGAGATCCACAGTAGGATTCTGAGAGGTTATCGTACTGATATTTCTATTGCTTTATATTTTTACATCTTAAATATCTCAATTGAAAACCTCCATGGAAAATTGATTCAATATAGTTGCCAAGGTCTGCCCCTTGACTGCAGGCTTCTGGAAGATCCTGCAGTCCTTGGGTACTCTTCTGTTGAGCTCCTAATACAACTTGAAATTCCTGTTCTGGTATTTCATAAAACTGATGTTCATAACATACATGAGGTGCAATCCACAAGATACGAGCTATTCTTGAAATAGGAAAGCCACAATAATTGGGTTTCTGTACAGACTGGTGGGGAGGAGATATATAGTGTACTAAGAGGATGCCAGCTGGGAAAACTCATAGTACTCTTCAAACTCTGAGACTATATACAGGATGATAGGGTTTATCAACTCACATGTATCTAACTGCTGAGCATAGTTAACTTGAGACACCCATCTGAGTTTTATAATTTCATTACCATACAGCTGAAGCAGAGTATCTAAAGATTTACCATAGCAGATATTGGTACCATTATCAGCTTAGCATACTTGATTCAGGGTACAGAACAGCACTGGCTTGCTAATAGTCTAATCAATTTACAAACATTCAATAAAATATATAAAATGATTTGGCAAAACACTCAGCCAGTATACGATCCCACAGGAAGCAAGATACAGGGCAGGGCTAAAACCAGTCTTTGCATCCTGTTCTTATAGTATAGGCATGGGGCTGGGACACCTAAAAATTGATGGCATTCAACATATGAGACTTCTGTACTTACAGTAAGAGAAGGGCAAGAAGGAGGACTATAGTATAGATCTCACATAATAGGAAGCTCTTGGAGTTCTAACCTGCCATAGATAGTATAATATAGATAGATTCAGAAGTTATAAAATTGAAATAAACTTGATTGAGATCTGACATTTACAGTGGCAATCGAGTGGCAGCAAATAGAAGTCTATACAAGATACAAAGTTCTAATATCAGTAGGACTCAATTCTTAAACTAGAAGTACAGTATCAGGAGTTCCCAGCCTGAGTAAGGTGGAGGATCCCAGAGGAGATCTGGACTGTGTCCAGATACTGGAGAATCAGATAACATAAACTAGATGGGGTGATACTGGGTATCAAAACATGGTATCGCTACTCTGAGATAAGCAGATATGTTGAATGTATTCCAACAGGACGGAGAAAGTAGGTGTGGATATGAGCATCTGAAATAGAATAAATATAAGAGATGAGTAGAGATGGTATAAGGATGGCCGGATGTGAGAGGTGTCACAAATGAGGAAATAAACTAGAGATTGAAATATAGAATACAGGAGATGTGGCTAGCTATTGCAATGCAAGACCAGACATACAAGACATAGAGGATGCAGGAGAAAAATACAATGTGTTCAGACATGGCACTGTAATGGGGGCTCCCTCAGGTAGATGGTTCCTAAGGATGCAACCACACCAAACTTCGATTCTCTCCAACACAGCTCTTGTAAAGTGTAAAGAATAAAAGTAAAACGGTAAAACTTAATATCATTAAGCTCTGGTGAGCTCAATTAAAGTCTCTCGAGAGGATGTTGATTGTATCAGGGTAGGAGAGTTCTTGTATAATCTTTATGTAGTCAGACTTATACCAAAAACTCCCCCAACAGGTTACCCCGACCAATACGAGCAGGCCCCTTCTCCGTAAGAGTTGCCGGCACCACAACAGTGCCCCCGAAGGGCCTAAGGTGTCAGCTCACTCTAGCAGAAGTCTCCTATATGCACATCAGTTCCTGCAAGGTGTTTACAAATACACCTACCAGAGCGAAATCCTGTGCACAACAGTGCCTCACCAGTGGCTAACTGTCGAGACGCCTAGGAAAGCTAACTAAATGACTCTCTTCCCATGTGCTATGACCTATGCAAGTACTCGTAGACATCAGCTGTCTTCTGGTTAAGTTCTATCTTTCTTGACTGCAAACTTACAAGGTCTACGACGCTCCTACGGAGAGCTGTGGTAGCGGCAGGACCCGTAGGCGCTACCCATAGTTCCTTACCCCCAGCACACCACTCACCATGATAAGTATCATGCTATTAGAGTCCTCAAACAACCCACAAAGAGCCTATGGCAAAGGGGCACATGTAGGTTTGATTGGCGTAAAACCTTTCCAGATGTCATCGGCACTATCCAGGACTATTCTGAGGACCCTTCTGGATAGCTCATGCTAACTCAGTCAGTTTTGGTCTGTTTTATTCCCTTCTTTTTGGAGAAGGTACCAGACCTTCTCACCTTGGCCCCCTTATATATCCTGCGAACAGCTTCCGGTCGGTCAGATGGCAGCAACGTATACAGTGTTATGGACATGTCTTCATTGACTCCATTCAACTAGTATGACAGCAACTTCAACCATTTTGACCTATGACACCCGGGGCGAACCCTGGGGCCGCAGGTACCTGTTAGGAATAATTCTGCCAAGTTACAGCTTGTTCGGAGTACTATAGCTCCTCCCGTAGCCTTCCGATCAATGTGCAAGCAAGTGCCCATCAATCGTCATCATATAATACACAATCCTAACAGTTCCCGGAATTTCTCCAAGAATATTTCCGATGGAAGGTAGGGTAATAGTGTCCCAAATGCAGGGTAAGTATGTCCATGGTAACATGAAACTAGTCTCTATGGCAGGGTTACATGACTCTCCTAGACAGGGTAAACTCACCTGGCCTTCCAACCTATCCTTCGGTCAGAGCAGACATAGTCACATTACTACTTAGATACACCGATCCCATAAGTACCTTCTGTTCTTTGGGATATCTGGACCATCAGATATCCCTCGGACATATGCCAGCATGCCCGCCTAGTCTACCATCCGATCTCATGGTCTTATGTATGGGCGTAGACTTAGGTTGTCATAGCTCTATAACTTAGGGTCGTTACAGGCACTCACATGTCTGATGCACGATTCATTTTTGCTGGTATACTAATATAATTAGCATCATATAAGGAGTTGCAGATGATAGTAGACTCAAGCTAAAAGTAGTAGGATGGCTCAAATAGTTCTACCTAGTATATACCTCAAGGAGCAAGTAGGAACTGTATTTAATTTCAATCTCCTCTGTACACAAATTCAAGTTGTTGATAGTTGGATTGTGAATGTGATAGGAAAAGGATAACACAGAAAGGGAATTGGAAGGACATAAAAATAAAATAAAATTTGTGTTCTACTTGGTATCATAAGTGGAATAAGAAAAATTTAACTTGGTCAGTCGGCTATCCTACAGGGCAAGTCCCCTTCTTTGCCAAGAGGATATCCTCTTAGTAGATAGGATATCCCCTTGGTGAAGCAAAATTCTTTGCCGGTGGGATGGAACATGTACGCAACTACTCTAGGTTTCATCCTTCCAAAGCCCCTTTTTTCCTTCGATCTCTCATCTATACGATTCCGGTACTGCCTAGTTTTATCCCTGTCATACTCGATTTTTACATCCATATCCGAGTATACACCGGTATATGTTATATATATTTCTTTTTGTGTTCTTTTGTGCCTTATCCCCGGGGATCGTTGCGGACGCTCTAGAGTGGATAACCTTATTGGGTCGCGAAGAGCCGCAGCAGGAGAAGGGTGAATCATTTTGGATGTGGGGCTTATTAAAATCTCCACTACAGAATTTTTGCCGAAATCGATCCTCGGAGTTCAGCGCAAGAAAGGGAAAAATAAAACGTATGATACTCTGCTCTCAGGAATATCTCCTGCTCTTCCGGATCTTCCCTTCTCACGACGGACATCGGTCGAGACTTCCAGATTTTGACACCTCTGGTGGGTTTTTGGCTGATTCACTTCTTTGACGCGCTAGCGTTCCAGTCTGATACCATAGCGTACAGTAGGGGTATTCAAAGTTTAAATTTTTTCCTTTTCCCTTCATACTCCTGAGTTCTGGTAGAGTTATGTTAAGCAGTACTGTCCGGTATTCTGTCAGAGTGGAGATTCAATGGTACCGGTGTCACGAGTCATCACCCCTTGGCGCCAAGGCTCCGCGATTTTGGTGGGCCTTAACCTCAGGGTGTCCGATACTCGAGTATACTTGCAAAATTAGCAAGCAACGCATGGAGACAGTTTATCGGACGTTTCAAGTACCTCTACCGCACTATACGGTGTTTACTTGTTTACTCTGTCTGTAGTCCCCGTGTGCTCGTTAGTGGACTAACTCAGTGCCTTCAGGGGATCGTGTGGGTCTGTTTATCATGCTGCACCGGTACAGTACAGTACAAAAGGTCCCGGAAGCTTCAGAGGCGACAAAAAAAAGTCCCCCCCCCTTTCGATCGGCGCACCAAGATCTCCCTGAATGATTTCCCATTTCTTGCAGGAAGCGAGGAAGCCGGAATGGTGTGCATGAGATTCGCACCTGAAGAGCTGCAAGGAGTCATAGGGATCGACCATAGCATTCCATCTCATTCTATGCATCTTCGAATGACTTTGTTGACTCTTCAGATAAGATATTCTGAAGGAATCATGCAGCCGTATTCGCTTGCATGCATAATTGTACTCGTATGACAGCCCAGATGGCGTTTCCGCGGCCGAATGTGGGCCAATTGTTGGTTTGTGCTGCCGTATTCTGCATCGGAAACCCTTGAGGCCGGCAGGAAAGGCGGATGGAGGTAGCACACATTTTGAGGCGTCGAAAATTACCCTGCGGAGCTACCCCGCTGGACTCGTCAACTACAAAGTTCAATGTTTCCACCGGGCATCTCAGCCTTCCATTTCCACGGCATTGCCCACCTATCGAGAGCCTTTTAAGACCTAGTGTCTACTCGGTGGAGAAGTAAGACTTGGAATATCCCGGATTCTGTACGAAGCAGAGTGTTTGTTGCTCGAGGTATGTCTTGTCATCTGGGAACTCCTAGCTCCGGTACACGGAATCTGGGTATGGTACTGAGCCTTATCGCAGTTCTCCGTTCTCAAGAATCTTCCATCAATCCCAAGGGGAACTCGCCACTCCATCTCTTTATCGAAGAGCCTTAGCATATTGTGTTGTTGTCGACGCACATTCACTAGATTTGCCGCTGGTCAAGTATGGAAATATTTATCCAAAACATCCCTTATAGTAGCGGCCGGGATTCCCAGTTGAAGAGAACGCTAGAACCTCACCTCCACGATCTCGGTGTTCTAGCCTTTAGAGCCACAGTTTTTAAGGGAAAGCCAGGCAAAGGGGGCTGGAAAAATGGAATTCTAACGGTTCCGACCAAAGAGGCGGGGAACGAATTCCTTAGTCTCTACGGCCCACGAAATGGTGGGGGGGCACCACGCTTGATCAATATGCAAGGACATGCCCTTAGGTTCGTGATTAGCAATAAGGGTTGCGATCAACATGTGGTCAAGAGCTTACAGAAGGAACAAGAAGCTTTGGTAAGGGAGAGCCTGCAGCAGCCACAGATACAGAGGACGAGACCCCCCGGGAAAAAGTTCGATATTGAAAAGGTTGAGTGTGGCGTTTGGTCGACCGACGCAAAGGGGTGTGCCCCGGTATTCAAATGTTACTATTCAATCGATGTTGTCGGTACCCTGCGTTTCGGGGGGAGGGCTGTTCATATCGTTTTTGAGAGGGAGGATAGCCCTTCCCGGGATGACCCATTGAGCCTTATATTTGAAAGGCTTGGTCTGGAGATGCCGGACGACGGTACTTCGGCCGACAAGTCAATAGTAGCCCGGTATATTGATATGAGCTCGATTGTTGTTTCAAAAGGGAACACCAAAGCTGTTACTTTCACGTTAGATAAGGCGCCCAGGTTCTACGACGAGACTCCGCAGCAACCCGCTTTTTCATTGGGATTTTTCAGGAACGACGTTCGGAAGCGTGTCTCAAGCTTGGGTGCGGACCACGCTCTTTATGCGCCCTTCGCTTTTGTATACCGAATATACCTCAGGGAAGCCCACGAAATAGAATCCGTTATGCTTCTTGGTGAGCGCCGTGGAATTCCTCCGGTGGTCGAGAAGCGAACAACCGTGCGCTCTGCAGCGTTTGAATTCCAAGAATCGAGCAAGGAGCTAGTTGGTAGGTTACAGAAGCAGTCTGCTGGACCGGGAATGTTCCCCATCGCATTCCAGCTCAATGTGATGTGGGCCGGTGGCTCGCTGCCCCCAAGCTCTGTGTTGAGGTTGTTACCCCAGGTCAATTCGTTCATTGGGAAGTACGGCTGCGAGCAAACCGCTACCATCCTGCAAGAATTTGTGGGGAGCTGCGGGCAGGAGGATCCAACAACCGAACCTGGCACACTCTCCTGCCAAGCCCTCGTATCCAAATTGAATGAGTGCGCAGCCTTCACCTCCGGTCGCAAAGGGTCATTGATAACTCCAAAGCTGGAAAGGGCCCAGGGAAAGCGCGTAGCTCTCGTTCATCATGTTTCTATAACACCTGCTGGTTGCTATTTTTTCGGTCCCCTCCCCGAGCCTCAGAATAGGGTGCTGCGAAAGTTTCCAAATCACCACGAATATTTTATACGAGTGACCTTTTGTGAGGAGGATGGGGAACAGTTGTTGTTCCAGCATGGGGTGGACCAGTCACCAATCTACAACAACCAGTTTCGCTTTTACCTCTCGGAGGGCATCACTATTGCCGGCAGGAAGTATGAATTTTTGGGGTTTTCCAGCTCGTCTTTGAGGACTCAGAGCTGCTGGTTTATGGCACCTTTTCATCTGGACGGTGAAACCCTTAATCCCCAAATCGTCACTTCTAGGCTTGGCGATTTTTCGAGCATTACGTGCCCGGGTAGGTATGCAGCGCGGGTTGGGCAAGCTTTCAGTGACACCTATGGTTCCATCGACGTCAGAGCGGACCACGAGGTAGAGATTCCCGACGTGGAGAGAAACGGACGAACATTCAGTGACGGAGTGGGCACAATTTCACAACAACTGCTCGATCGAGTTTGGGGGGAATCCGAATCGCTGCGCAAGACTCGGCCGACCGTATTCCAGATCCGGTTCGCTGGAGCTAAAGGGGTGGTCTCCCTCGACACACGGCTTGTCGGCGACAAGTTCTGCCTTCGGCCCTCAATGATCAAATTCAGAGGCTCGTCTGACCGCAAAATTGAGATTTGCAATTCCGCTGACTGGCTGCCTATGTACCTCAATAGGCCTCTGATAAAGGTCTTGGAAGATATTGGTGTGGCTGAATCTACTTTCATGACACTCCAGAAAGACGCTATTGAGGAGCTACGACAGTCGACAACTTCAGTGGCGTATGCGGCAAATTTCCTGAAGCGCCAGCGAATTGCCTCGACAGCTATAAGACTCCCATGGGTCATCGAGTCGCTGGGAAATCTGGGCTTCAATTTCAGAGACGACCACTTCCTAGAGCAGGCATTTGAACTATCTCTGATTACATCCTTGCGGAGCCTGAAGCATAGGGCAAGGATACCGGTCAAAAAGGGCATGACGCTTGTTGGAGTGATGGACGAAACTGGCTACCTACAGGAAGGCCAAATATATGTCACGGTCCAGGCTCGGGACAAAAAGGTATCGGAGAGTATAGCGGGGCGAGTTTTGATTACCAGATCGCCGGTACACCATCCCGGGGACGTTCAAATGGCATTGGCTATCGGGACCAACCAGCTGCCCTCGGATTCTCCACTCCGGGCTTTGCGCAATTGTGTTGCATTCCCTCAGCGAGGTGAGCGCGACATGCCGAGCATGCTGAGCGGTGGGGATTTGGATGGAGGCAAGCCGCACAAACCACTGCTGCACAAGATAGGCTGCTAATGAGACCAAGACTTGTACAACATAATATACGACGCAAGATTCAGCTTAAAAAAGACATACGATCCAGCAGGGTACCCCAGGGTCCCACCGAAAGATCTAGGACGTCCGGTGGAGACTAGCGATATTGTTGACTTTTTCTTAGAGTTTATGGAGAACAACCTCCTCGGGATGATTAGCACTCGGCATTTAATTACTGCAGACAAGAAGGTCGAAGGCGTGCACCATCCGGATTGTTTAAAGCTCGCTCAACTAGCTTCCACAGCCGTTGACTTTCCTAAAACTGGGATAAAGGTGAGCTCTGCCCCTGGGGGTGCAATTAGAAACGAGGCGGGCTCTTACCTAAACCTACCATGATGTTCCCTCTAGGTCTCTAAGTCCGATTTTCCGAAAGCAACCCTCGCCAGACCGGATTTTATGGCGCCAGGCCCTCGCATATTAATAAAAAAGGGGCCAGAGTTCGTCGAGGAAGATGCAGTGCCAGACGACGAGGATGACGACGAAGACACCCCAATCTTATACTACGAGAGCGAGAAGGTCCTCGGAAAGCTATATAGAGAGATCGACGAAACGGCTTTTCTTCGCGAGGTCCAAGGAACTGTGCACAGGGAACGCCGGGAACGTGATGTCGGTGAGGGAGCCGTGGTCCGGGGGATCTGGGAATGGCTTGTGGAAGCGATCCCATCCAACTACAAGTGGGAGGGTTATATTGGCGTTGCAACTGAGCTCAAGGAGGCGCAAGTAGTCCCGCCACTTTATCCATTGGCGTTGCTAAGACAGTGCATAGCTACGAGGGGCATGTGGAGCAGATGATGGCAAGCTACTCGGACATGCCGTGGAAATACCGCCTCCGAGAAGTCGAGGTATTTGTCGGGAACATCGTGGGTAAAGAGCGGCAGACCCGGAGGCAGAGGGACGCCTCGTCACAGATGAAGGATGAATTCGATATGCTCGCTAGCTCTATCGTCGAGTCCATGCAGAGCGAGTCCAGAGAAAAAACCCTGGGTATCGGTATGGCGTCACTGTCCTTGTGTCTTCCAGAGAAGGTTTGGAAGGATCTGGACTCTCTCAAGAGCTTTACGTGGGTTGCGGTGAGTGTGCTATTGACAGAGGTCGACAGGATGCAGAAGGAGGCCAGGAACAAGGGGGGTGGGACGTCGAGATAAGTATTCGATGGGGATTCTCTTCCGTTGTATAAGGTTCACTTGTTCCGGTTCGGGGTTCTTTCTCGGTTATATTCATGGTTAATGATTTTGTCTTAATATCGGTAGATCTCTTCCTTATTACCAAAAAAGCTATTATTGGCCGTATAATTATGTGGGTCGACTTGCGGTTTAGCAAGGGCCTAGACATATAATATCACTCGACTGCGATTTCCAGGTTTGTAGGTGGGCCTACTGAGAGGGGCATCGTCAGTAGATATGTCAACTATCGGAAAGGGCTCGCCCAATACATAAGAGTGGCTTTTTGTAAGCCTCCACACCGCCCGGAAGCAAACCAATCTTTCACATTAGAACAAGCCAGTGGGGGGAGAGAACCCCCCCCCCCTCCCCCGACCATCACAAACCACAATACTCATCAGAAAGAAGTCCACAAACGTCCCACCCCAAAACCCCTGGTCACCATTTCCCAGAAGCACTCTACGGACTGGCAGTGTGATTGCAATACCGATGTGATGCTCGTGTGTGGCCCTGGACCTGGATTCTACGGGTCGGTTGGATGTAATCTTGACACGACTGCTCATTTCCCGGTGATCAATTTCGGGCGGGGGTTGTTGATTAGGCTAGGGTTGGCCTCTGTGATTTGTTAACATCTGCAGCCATAGAGGCGACAGCGACTTGTAAGCCCTGACGGTAACCGTCGTGTGCAGCACCCTAATTTTTCTGTTTCGTTTCTTTCTTTCTCCTATATACCGCCGCCAGGGTACCTGTGCATGGAATGTCACTCGAGCCTGAGACATAGTCTGCCAATGAATGATATGGGCCTCGGTGGGGAAGTACGGAGCATTTACCCCAGTTGAAAAGTCGCTCCATGATACTGGGGGACTAGTAGTTTGCGGAAAACACTGGAAAGGGGGGGTTCAAGATACCTGGGGCAACCCCATCTCCCTCTTCCTTTCCCCTAGTTTGTATCCCATCCGCTAGAAAAAAAACCGGAAAAACATTGCACTATTATATCATATAAAAGGGGTTTCCCTCCGCCCTCGCTCCTGCTTTCCCGCGAGAACGTGGCCTCCGAGTATATCCCCCGTGAACCCTATGTACTCCGTAGCTGGGGGGACAAAATGTAACCATTCAAATATCCACAATTCACCTCACTCGACACAACAGCAGCCCCCCAATCCTCATCTCAATAGCCTGCCGAGCCTCCAGAATAACCCCCCTATCCGTCGACAGAAGCATAATCTCCCCGGCCCCTAACGATTGCACGAAATCATGCTGCTTTCCCGCCGCCAGGTTCTCCAGCCCCCGAACCCCCATATGTACCCTCTTCGTTGGCTTGCTCACAAGCTTCATCCCCGAAAGCACCGGCTCGTTATCGTGATACTTGAGCGAGAGCCAAAGCCTTCTCCTCGCAATGTTCTCCCGTGTCGTCGGCGTCTCCTCGGCGTCCGGGCCCGCGGTGTCGCCCCGGGTCACGGAGGATATGAAGCCCTGGTCTTGAAGTGCTAATGCGATGCCCAAGTGTAACTTCGACGGCATGATGGAGGTTATGGAGAGGCGCGAGCGCGAGGCATTCTGCAAGTGCGAGCAGAAGTGGCCGAGGTTTACGAGGGACATTCTCGTGATGGGGTCGAATTGTAAGTTGTAGGCGGCCTAGGGACATGTGAGAAATGGTTGATATTGGATGTTTCGACCCCCTTTTCCTTCTTGCTCCCTCCCTCCAGCACTATAGGTCTACCGGTAGTCCCGTAGGGGAGAGGGAGGAGGAGGAAACGTACCGTGCCGTGACTATCGCTCCAATTTCTTCCCAGCAAAGGGGGGTAGGGAATCAATTGAGGTTTGCTCTAATTTTCCTTTGGTGGGGCAGTTTCTTTCTTCCCGGTTTGCTCCAGCTTGGCGAGGGAGGAGGGTAACTCTGATAGAAGCTTGATTATTCATCCTCCAATGCTTTGGCAAGCAGTGGGTTAGGGTTTCAACCGGCCAATCAATCCGAAAGGACTCGAGGAATCTCATTGAGAGTTTCTTAATACGAGAGAAGGGGCGAAAGGGCGAAGGGTAAAAATAAAAAAAGTGTGATAGGGGATATATTCACGGAAGAGGTGAAGAGTTTTTTTTTTTATTTATTTTACTTCTATTTCACAAGTGCTCTACATTATTCCTTTCCCCCTGGCTAACTCCTTGTTGGAGTTAAAATGTACCTCTCCGCGGTCCGCAGATATTTCTGGCCGGCCTGTGTCCTATCCGGGCGGGTTCACGTTGAGCTCACCTCCACCAAACATGACTTCAACCGCCGCCAGGCCGAGCAACACATCTATCCAAACCCCCATTCATTCATCCATCCCACACCACACAATCCACCCCCCTTCAGTACCGGCACCTTTCCCCCCTCGCCTCACCTCCCCTCTACACCATACCGGTGCCCCAGCCTGCATACGGACCGAAGGTACCGTGGGATTTACTTTATACGAAAAAAAAAAAAAAATCATACGATTCTCCCCCATCATCATTCCACTATTCAGCCCATTACTTCGTCCCGACCCGGCAGCACCCGCCGCTGTCCCATTGTTAGCCACTGATGATTGTCGGCCTGTCACTTATCCTTGCCTTCCTGTCTTATTTGCTTTACCGCCGCCTGTTTTCCTCCGACGGCACTAGTAGTGGTCAGTCGAAGACTCTCCCCATGTGGCCATTCTTCTCAGCATTCATTAAACAGCCTCCAAACCCGAAACCCCCGTCCTCGCCTCAGGCACAAGCAACTACGCCAACAGCAGCAACTGCCTTGATAACAGTACAGGATTACGACGCGCCGAATTTCGAACCTGCTCTAAAGGAGAAGGACACCCAACAACAACAGCTACAAACACAAATATCCGCCCAAGCACCGCCACCACCATCATCGCCATTATCATCCCCAAGAAGGACCCCTTCCCCCCCGGATCTCCACTCCCCAGAAGCAACTCCCAAAGCACTTGCACCCTCTGCGGCCCCCTCTGTTAGAATATCCGCGATACCCGGGATCTCGCTGCTAGCAGATGGCGGGAGAGGCGGAGACGATTCGGGAGCGCGGGGTGTGGGGGGCAGCAACCACAGCAGTGGTGGGCAGGCCGAGGAAGATGAGACTGACGATGATATACCCCCTTCGTTCCCCTCCTTAAATTCTGTCCAGCGAGCATCTGGCGGAATCCCGTCTCTCACCGCACCGTTGTTATCGTCCGCATCACCACCACCGTTGCCATCATTATCACCCTCAACAAACACAAACAGAATACCCTCACCCGTCACGTCGACAGCAGCACCGACATTGCCCATGGCGCCCCCACCCATTCCCATCCGTGGGAGGAATCCGAAAGCAAACGCCCGCCTCATCGTACCGGGCGCTCCGTCCCAAACCTCCGCTGCTCAGCAGCAACGGCAGAGCGCAAGTTCGGCCGCTCGATCAAGACTAGCCGCTGTGGGACTGGGGGCCTCCGGTGTGGCGGCAGGCAACGGACTAACTCTCCCGAGCCAGCGAAAATCTGCCACCTCCTCCAGCAGTCGGAAGAAAGTCATCCTAGAACCCGGACATTCGCCGCTCGATTGGGCAAGGTTACAACGCTCAGGCGTGGACTTGAGGGTGAGTACCGGAGTCGTAGCCGGTTTCAACTCAACCTCGCTCACTAGATCACCCTAACTAACTTTGCTTTATTATTATTTTCTGGCAGAACCTCCCGCATTCGAACCTGATAAAAGTCTCCCCCTCCATGCTAGCTACACACGCAAAACACCCGGACGACATCTGGACCGCGCTAAACGGACGAGTGTACAATATCACGGCGTACCTCCCCTTCCACCCGGGCGGGGAAAGGGACCTCCTCCGCGGCGCAGGCAAGGATTGTACAAAACTGTTTAACGCCACGCATCCTTGGGTCAATGTTGAGGGTATGCTGGCTGAGTGCTTGATCGGGATATACATTACTGAAGAGGAGGCAGCTGCCTTGGCTGCCCCTGAATCGTCGTTGGAGTCGGTCGATTAAGCGGAGCGAGCTGGTACACTCGGGAAGGAGGTTAAGGAGAGTTTGATTTTGAGTACACGCCCACTGCATCGTCTTTATTCGGGGTCGGGTTCTTTCGAAGAGGAGGTACATACAAAGCGAGGGATAATAGGATTTATAGACTGATGGATATGGGAGTTTGTGTTTTGTTTTGCTTCTCTTCCTTTTCTTCCCTTTTTTTTTTTTGTTGTTTCGCACTCGACCCCACCTTCAATCATTCCCTCTCCATTCACAAAACTAAAAAAAGTACCACCGACGAAGCAAACGGAGTCAAACGATGGGAAGGCGTAGAGATTGTTGGAATTATACCTTTTCTTTTTATTCTTTTCTACGACAAAAATAGCCCCTATCCTCCACTTTATTTCCCTCACCTACGTTTCTTGCATCTTACATTCTCATGGGCTTTTCATGTGTGTATGTTTTTTCTTTTCTTTTCTTTTCTTTTCCTTTCTTTCCATCCTCGTCCAGGCGTTTCTAGGGGGTTTCTTCTTCTTTTTCTCCCCTTTTCCTTCTACCTGCTCACTTCCCCTTCTCACCAAAATTGCCTATGAATATTATCTACCTTTCCGACTTACTGCCTCTCCCTCCCCTATCCCCATTCTCAATCATCTTCATATTCGTCACGTCCGATACCCCTACCCATACCCTTAATATACCACCCCACCCATCACACCTCCAGGATATACACATAATCGTGTGCTTTATTTTGCTTTCTGTATTCCAATCCCCTGCTCCTCGCTCTACTTAACGTTGCACGCAGAATTTGTATGATACCGCTTTTTATTTATTCCCCTTCTTGTTTCTGTTCTGGTTCTATTTCGATTTTTGTTTAGGGGCTTGTCTCTGCCAATAATGAAGATTGAGGATGGGTAGGTGACTACAGATGGAGAGGGACAGAGAGGTCTGTGGGGGGTGGTCGAGGTAGGAGTATGACCCGGGGGGTCCCTGGCGTTTTTTTTTCTCTTTTCAGATTCCTCCGACTTTTATTTTTTGTTTTCTTATCTCCTATTTTTTACTTTCTTTCCGGTCCCACGGAGAGGGTGTATGTATGCTCAATCTCTCTCGGGTATTTTAGCCCGTGGCCGTTGTATCTATTATAAAGAGTACACAAGCTGGGAGTACCAAAATCTAGGGTTAGTGATTGAGTGAGTACATGATAACCGGTGTGGGGGTTAGCAGATTTTTTCAACAACAGCAGCAAAGAGCCTCATCTGCCATCCCCCTCTCCTTCATGGCTACGTGGACCAGAGCCTGGCCTGTGTCACCTATTTCCTGAAGCTATTATATTCTTCAGCTCCACTATATAACAAGGATGTCTTTTTGGACTTGGGGCAATCTGGATCTTTATTTCATCGGTTCTCACTCGACCCGAGCACTTCCCTGCTCCCCTACGAATCGCTGGGGTACCTTCGCCAGGATTTTGCAAAATTACGTTTGCTATGCATCTGCGCTAGCTATCTTAGTAAATACCAGTATCCCCATCTCGCGCAGAGGACAAGCACCCCACGATTCCGCGCGCGTGTCCGAGGCAGACACGCACGCGGGCGGGGCGGGGCAGTCTATAATACCTTATGGGGTACGTGTGGCGGGGCGTGGGCCGACGCAGAAACCAGTAACTCAAGATGGTCCGGGTGGGGTGCAGGCGCCAAGCGGCGGATGGCCCCAGGTTTGTAATCGGCCACTCCGGGCAACCTTTGTCGCATAATCTGGAAATAAGTTGAAAGTCCAGTGGGCTCTCCGTGATGTAGACTAAGGCAAAGATCAGGTCGAATGGATGTACCAGCGCCGGCTAGGAGCACATGGCGGCCAGGACAGTTTTTGCATCTGCATCTCTGCTTGTGGCCGGAGTTCCTTCGGAGGCTGTCCAGTCCAGTACGTGGTCCAACGCAAATGGTGAACTGCACCTGGCATACAGTTCAGACGGGGAACAATTTCCCTTGTTCGGTGATTTTGGGATATCCTAGCCGGCTTCGTGAATTCAGGCGTCCTTCCCACACAACACTATGATCGTAGTAGTACATTTAGTGCTCAGCCCCCGTTCTGAAGAAAGAAGAAGAAAAAACGCCTGACAAGGGTATGGTTTTTGGCGCGGAACAATCGGCATGAATTTGGTTTGTCCGCTTATTGAATAAACCGTGTTCTCCCCAGCATGTTAGTGCAAGGTCAAACATGCACATTTTTGCCGGGGTACGGAAAAACATAACTGTCTAGACTACTCGTACAACTGCCCCTGGTTGTAAATTCCACTATCCCAAAATCGGCCAGATGGAGATTGAGGTCGCGCACTCCAGATGAAACTAGTCTACCAGCTCGATGGGCACTACTCGTACTTGGACGATATTCCCCTTGCCAACTACCGGCTCGCAGCCCGTTAAATCTGGATTTGGCAAACCTTTGGTCGCAATTAAGATCCGTGCGGGGAAGGGTGGGGGTTGTTGTGCTGAGGGTATTTTTTTTTCTTTTTCTTCTCCCCTCCCGCTCTACCGTCTTGCATGACTCGGTAACATGGCGCCATGTTCGAACAAAAACAGGCCACAATGCGGTAAAGCTGTTCGCCAGGATTGCTTACCGAGTGACGAGGTATGATCACCCCTTCCATTGTTCGATTATCGGTATTGTGAAGAGAGCCTAAGGCTGCATCTGCCGGGCGGAGGGTAGAATGCCGATACCAGTTTTCGGGAATGAGTTGCGTCGGAGTATCCGATTGTGTGAATCAGGTTAACCAGCAGATTTCCTAGTGGATATCCAAATTCCCAAGTGCTATCAATTGAGCTCTGGTCCAGTGGCTAAACGGCTTTTGTGAAACTCAAAGGCGGCTTTCAATCGAACCGCCGACTTCCAGGTGTCAGGTGTGGTTCTGATATAAGCTGAGGTCCAAGACTCAAGGCCGGTAAACTTACATAGCTCCCAGGACTGGATTGGAGCACCATCCCTAAGTATCCAAGGATCATCAAATTGGAGTTCCCTGCAAACAGATTATATTAGATCCCTCCACAGAGGTATGCCGATACAATCCTCAACCCCCCAAATGTTCCGGAGTTTGGAAAACAGATAAGACACGCTGGGGGACATGCATTATTTACTCCGCTCCGGTGCGGGTAGTGAGTAGAGAGTTCAGTAGAAATATCCACAGGACCTCAGATAGGATTCGAGCACCCGACTTCCATGTCGCAGTGGTACCTCCCATGTGTCTGCTCTGTATGTTGTGCGCTTTTGTATATCGTGGGTTACAGCCGCTTTGGGTCCGCTCTGTTGTTGTCGGCATGATGGCGTGTCAGGTTAGAGTACCCTCAAGCTCTGCTCGCTCAATCCTTTCCCCTCCGTTCAAAAGCGGGAGTCGAGAATGCAACCGCGACATCCGGCTTACCCAGTTAGGGCAGCTCTTCCCACAAATCTGAAAGCGTCGCATCATATCGGACATTGGGTATTGCCACCTCTGCTCTATCAGAGTAGACAACGCGGGTTGGAGGCAGTATTCCAACTATTCTGGGTACATATATTAGGCCGGCGTACTGAGGCCGCCCGAGGAGTGATTTAGGGTTGGCGTACCTTTTACAGATGCGCACTCTAACCAAAGTCAGCAGATAGCCAAAGGGTGAGTATTGGAGTACCGGTAGGTCTTTACCAGGCCAAAAGAATACCTAGGCAATGTCATGTTGACGAGGCTCTGCTCCGCACAACCCGCGCAAGGCGGCTATGATACCTCCTTAAAATGGTCATCTCATACAATCACATCCACTATCCCGGATCGCACTGAGCCGTGCGGGGGCTTTGGCTCCTCCGAATTCTCACAAAATTTCACCCGCTGAGCCGGTAAAGGAGGGGTTCGGATTCGTATGACATTTTGGGAAACCTTACCCCCCGTTCCTATACTCGAGTACAGAGTTTGCCTGCTGAACCAGATGCCATGCTTTCTGCCATGAAAACCAAATTATACTCAAAGGGGGGGGGGAGGCAGGGCCGAACGTAAAGGCAATAAGAAAGAAAGAAAAAAGGATGTAGAAGAGGGTGAAGAAAGAGAAATGGAAAATCGTATTGTGTGCTTAGAGTTTGACTGGGACACGGAGACAGGGCATATCGCTACCATATGTATCATGGCAGTGATGCGGAGGAGGACGAAGACGAAGGTGTTATCCTACATGTGTGACTACCAGATGGATGACAAAAAGTGCTAATACTACCTATGAATATGAGTTAATTAAGATAAAGCTTCTCACATGGGTAGGAATGGGCCTTGGTCATTTTTCGGATGACACGAACTCTCTCCCTCCCCCCGCTGCCCCGAATGAAATCCGTGAAATTTGGCCACCCGTGATAGCGGGGCGCGAGCGTATACAAGTCAGGGATTTCTATGATCTTCTCAAGCAAGTTGGAGCGCCGTGGCTGAACAATGAGGTAAGCAGAGGGCACAAGGAATCATATCGTTGGGGGAAATGGAGGAAATTCCCTTACTTATACGAAATGCCTCCCATTGTTTGTGCGATACGTGTGCGCCCACTAAAACACAAACAGACCTTGCAAAAGCCTAATGAACCAGCGACTGTCCTCCGGGATAGATGACTGATGGCTGGCGAACAGAACTTTACCCGTGCGGCACTGGAGGTTAAGACTCAAAATATCTCATTCCACAGGCTTTTTTTCTTTCTTCAATAGAGAGGTTACTATGGTGAATTATAAAGTAGGAAAGCAAGCAGGGATAAAGTTTTTGGCCAAAGGTTGTAAGACGGCAGGGGCGGTAAGTGTGATGCTAGAGAATGGATTTGGAATCAATACGTGAAGGATGTCCATGAACTCCGCGTTTACTCCACCGAACGAGATATATACCCATCAAAACTTGAAGAAAAGAACGCAAAAAAAAAAGAAGGACGAGAAGCCAGGGGGAACAAAAAGAACCCACCCGACATTCACTCCAGTTTGCGATACAGTACTCCTCCTTTATGGCGACTCCCCCCACACATCTGCAATGAATCGATCCATCACCTTAGGATGGAACAGAAAAACATAATTGATTTTGTTCTAATATCTACCCACAGAATCTGAGGTTCGGCGGAAGGCAGTTGCCCGGGGTGTTGGAGAGGTATCAATCATAGCAATTCTGGATGAACTCCAACTCATTAATTCTCACTCGGCCGTCAAGTTGAAAGTGAGGGGAGTAAACTTCCTGAGACCAAACTTTCACTCCCAACCCCGCGACTTTGCAATCCATCACGCGTGGAACCACAGTGGTTGGTCCCGCCAGGTCAACTTCAGGAAGTCGCTCCCTTCCTGCTCGGATTCACACACGCAACATGGGGAGAAAGCTAGATTCAGGAGTGCCGTCGGGTGAAAACTTTGATTGCGGAACAGAACTTATTCAGCGCTATGCCGCTGGGGCTGCCGGCTCTGGTAGCGACTGATATGCCTTTTTCTTCCCTTATGTTGAGTAGCGCTCTCTCTCTCTCTCTCTTTCTGCTGTGCTTTCGTCCCTTTTCCAAAATAGGGAATTTCGACTACCGTACCATGCACAGCACGAGGTTCGATTATTCAAGTTTTCGCAGTACCTCAATGTGGGATAACCAAATAGGAAGCAGTCCGCCATGAAATATTGGAGAGAAGGAAAGAAAGAAAGAAAGAAAGAAAGAAAGAAAACCCCCTTTCTTTACGAACTCCTCTGGGCCCGTCGGTTTGCCCTTCTTGGCCGACTGCCTTCTAAGTCATATTGGACTTTCGTGTATAAATCATGGTGCGCCCTCTCCCCCAAGCTAGGCTCCCACAAACTCGTCTCCTATGAATAATACCGTATGCGGTTCCGCGCCTGTGGGAAATCCACAGTCTCGAACCTAACTTGTTGCCTAAGGTTGCTGCTTTCGAAAGCTGCCCGGGGGAATGATCGAGGTACGGTGTGCTTCTCCAGTTTTGTCCTGTACTGCCTCCAGTGCTTCACACCGGTACCCACTCCGGACATGATGGTGGCCCAGTCCCCTCGTATAGCAGGCGTTAGAGGAATCTTGGATAACTTGTGCAAACAGGGCTCATCCAATAGCAAACACTCTTAGTAGAATGTGTTGCGGTTCAGAATGTCGGCCCGGTTCTTGCTTTGCCGGGGACACGGCGCAACGTCCTGGGCGTGCAGAAGCTGGGGCTGTGCGTGTATTCCGAGGGTATTTCGTTTTCTTTGTTTTTTTTCCCTTACTATGAGTTACACTACCTCCACTCTCTACTGCCGGTATGCTATGATACTTCTCTCTTTACCCGGTATACATGCCCATTGTGGGCACTTATCACCTGCGGCGAGGAGCCTAGTGTAAGGTCCAGTGTCAGACAGCCGTGCTGCCCTGCCCAGTGACATTTCAACCTCATGAGTCCTCCAATCCCCAGCTCACAAATCTTAGTCAAGGGCTCTAGGCCCAGACCCGAAAAACTCGCCACGCACCCAGGTATGCAGCTAGGGATACTAAGCACTCGGTATGCGCACCAGTGAATTGAAAGGAGAAAAAAAAAGAGGGGGGGGGGGGTTACAACAGCCATTGTTGAACCTTCACAACGTATGATACTGGGGAGAGCAGGTTTAGTGTGGACGGGCCGGAGAGAATCCACCAGCGCACCACGCTGAGCGCTGTCCCCACGAAACTGTATACCACGCCAAACGGTCCTCATCCAAGACCACGCCACCAAGTGTTTGGCAGAATAGCGAGTTTTTCGAGTATACAAGGGCACACGAACTCAAACGGTCCGCGTAAATATTTCAAGGGGCCACATCAAATCACTCCTCCCACCCTCCCACAAAAACAAATCTGAGCGCCAAGGACAGCCCCGTCAACGCGCCCCATGAACCGCAGGCGTGCCTCGGATATACCGGTACGAGTACTGTACGAGCTCCTGACACGCAGGCGGCAGGCGGAGGGCGGGGTCATCAAGTAGCGTGAGCGAGGAAACCCCACGGCTCCACGAACCAAGGTGCTCTCAAGACGCGGTACGGTAACCGGATGCCAATCAACGGTGAGCCGGGGGCCTTGGGAGAGCTGGAGAAATGGTATCATACCGGTACTGTGCCCGTTGCGGTGCTGTCCACGAGCAATATTCCAAATACTCCCTTCCGTGTCGCCATCGTCCCTGAGCCATTTCTCATGATAGGTGAGTGAGCACTTCTGCACTCTCATCCACCAAGCGCCTTCCGTTTGCCGGACCGGCAGACATCCCACGGTGCACACCGCACCCCGGCGTTGCGACACAAACTACCCCCCACCGAGCCTATACTTGCCCGCGCCCAACAGCCGCCCCGTTCCCAAGGCTCCCGGGGGGGGGGGAAGTCACCGCGGTGAGCTCGAAATCGCCAACCCCATCCATGCCAAAATCCCACCCCTCAAGCTACAGGTGACCGACACAAACTCCACCGGAGACGGGTGCTGACAGCAAATTTAAACTCTGAATCGCATTATACTCGTGTGCATGACTGACGAAGGCCTACGGGCTTATTGATCCGGCAGCTTCGCAAATACCGGTAGTATGGCGCCTTTACATCATCAAGGAGTTCGCGGAGGGCTTGCGAGTGTAAACCAATCACAAATTGTCACTCGCAGGTTGACTGCGGCTGTCAATGACTCTATGAACTAGCTTGGCGCAGACGCGGGGTGCTTATGGTGCCATGCACGCAAGCTTCATTCCAGAACAAAAAGTACCGCATACTCGAGCACACCACCCTCATCCCCGTGAGGGAAAATTGCCGTGAGCCAACCATTTAATAGGGTCGGAAGTCACCAGTACGAATAGTAGAGAAGAGGGTACGCTCCCTTGGAGGTATTACATCATAGGTTAGGTTAGTCCGGTTCGGCCAGGCCAGGCTATGCCAAGCCGCAGTGCGGCACTAGAGTCACGGTATGATACGGTACTGTGCTGTTCCCAACCCCACGGCCTACACCCACCATAGGATAGAGTTCATTCAATAGTAACTAACTTGTTTGAAGGACAGAAGTCAGATACAGCAAACAATTACTGCTTTCGTTTGTAACCACCAAACTAGATATGAGGGGAGTAAAGAAGAAGAAAAGAAAAGAAAACCTTGACAGCATAGGGATTCTCCAAGATGTGACTACATTTTTCCCCCGAAAAAAACAAACAAAAATATATAAAAAAAATTAAACACCTCACAAGAGACGTGGGCAGGCAGGTACATAGCATCACACCATACTCGCAAAAGGACATGCGCAAGAGTGAGAAGGAAAGGAAAGGAAAGGAAAGGAACCATGATAAATGACAAACCAAGAAGGAAAGCCGCAAACCCTAGGTGCAGAACATGGTATCAATGAAAAATATATGATTGGAGGATAAAAGGCCCCGTTCGTTGCCCAGTGCTTTACCACTAAATATCTGTTTTCAGACAATTCAAGACGATAGATAGTAAGCCACTCCGTGCAATTGGCTAAACAGGTGTGTGACGAGTCCCCGCTAGCTAGCCGCCTGGTCGATATCTGGTGGGTGTGGCGCAGTAGGACTATGAATACATTGTCCAGGTATCGCTGGGCAGTCGTTCGATCCCGTGAGGTATTTGATATAACTAGCCGCCTTTTGTTTGTTCCCAAGGGGTTTCCCGGTGTTCGCGGTCAGGTGCCCTCCTCCCCATGTGCGAGTAAATGGAGCCGGAAGCAAGTGAATGATTATGGCTCCCAAAGCCTTCCGCGGCCTCGAGCGACTCCTCCGGGGGGTGGTCCGCGAAGGGTGTAGCTGGCTGCGGAATGGTTTCCCCTAGAATACTCAGGATCAGCGGGCTGTTCGCTAGTGCGGCTATTACGCCTTCCACCCCTTCCGCCACCCCTGCCACCGCCTTTACTGAAGCTGCCCAACCTCCCGCCACGACCCGCGCCAGTTGGAGAGGCAGGGTTTATCAAAGCTTCGTATCTCTGCTTCCTGCTTTGGAAATCCCAGCTCTCGGCATCAATCATCCCCTCAATGGTAGCGAGGTCGACGGCCTGAACGCCAAATAGGGCAGCCCAATTGCGGAGCTCTTCATAGTTGGTAACTAGGACGACTGGATCTTCCACACCATCCTCCGAAACAGATCTTCGTTCCCCCGAGTTATGTATTTTGTAAAGCGTGGAGTTGAGAATCTTCTGAATCCACACCGGCGGGGGCACCGCTCCGAGTCCACCACCGCTACCGTCCACCGCCACCGGAAGGGAGGACGAAGGAGCCAAATTCTCCGGCAACCGAAACTGCTCGCATTCCATCCAGTTCGCGAACATCTCTCCCGCACTCAACACCTTTGCCCCCCGGATAGGCTTAACTTGGCAACGTTCGAGATAGCGAATAGTCTCTCTAGAATTGACATTCTTGGGATCTGTCCCCTTCTTCGTGTCATCGAGCGCATCCAAAGCTGTTACAAACGACTAAGTGAGCTTCCATCGGAAGATAAGCTAGAACGAGTAGGGAGGGTGTGAAATTCGGGAAAACTTACTGCAAAATGGTACAGCGAGTGTAATAAAGCCCTCACTAACCCATGCCTTAAATCCGGCAATTTTTGCCGTGAGCACCGATTCATCGGCAACACAATGAAAAACTTTGCGCACCGGGGGCACGAGATTTCTGTCGTGATCGACCTTGGTCTGGAGCTCGTTAACCGTGTACTGAAGACGAGCTACAGCAAATCGCTCGAGCTATAGAAACGGGGTGGAAAGTCAGTCCCCGTAATCCTTTCGTGATGGAGTGGATAAACAAGGGGAGGGGGGAGAATGAGGGAATTACGAGTTTGGGATTGCCTCGAGGTTCCATTTCCGATCATCTTCTGTAAAGGTTGTCTATGGCTATGGTTTTTTGCCGGAAGCACGGGGGAAAATGGTTGTATTTGTACCTCAACCGCAAGGGCCTAACAAATATGAAGGGGAATGTGTTGTGGTATAAGTACTCGAGTATGTTGCCAAGTTGTAGGTAAGGCGTGACGGGCAGGAAGGTCTCGGCGGAACGGGAGAGGGGGTGAGATTAGGGGGAAAAGGCCGATAAGAATTACAAGACAACTGCCCTTTTTTTCTTTTCTCACACGTTCTCTCTGTTTATGAGGGTGTGAGACACCGGTGTCGGAGGGGGGGATTAGAGGAGGAGGAGGAGGGAGGGGGGGAGGAGGAAGAGGGGAGATGATAGGGCACGCAAAGTTGATATCGGGGGGCAAGAAGGACACGGTAGGACGTTGGTTGGCTGACTGGTTGGCTGACTGAACGCCGATTGGACGGACTTGGGATGTGAGGTGGCAGGCTTGTGGGCGGCGGAGGGGGCGGGAATCGGGGCTTAGCCGAAACCCACGGACTGAGTTACACGGGGCATCAGCCACAGACAACCACAGAAGAGAACCCTCCACCGGCACATACCGGTGCGAATATCATAGAAGTGGGCCGCAGATGGGGAAGACCTCCAAAGGACACAAAAAGAAGTTGATGAGCCGCAGCTCGCGGGGCTTGAGACTCGATCCGCGCAGTTGGAGACGGGAGAAAGGCAAAGCCCCGCTATTGTTCTGGAACTGTTCCGTAAATGCTTCTCACTCCTCCTCCGGCCCCTGCCGCAACACATACGGTACTTCTTTTCCTTTTTTTGTGGCCGTGCAAGTAAAGAAAACCCCAGCACATGCCAATACTTGCGCATCCCGCCACCGAAGACACTACCGTAAAAACTAAAATAAACGAAAAATGTGCTATGAGGTTCAGTTAAAGTACTTGAAACAAGAAAGGGGGAAATTAATGTCTTAGATGTATTTTTTGTGGACTTGCTTGGCATGATATCAACGACATCCCATCATCATGATAATGTAGACTACCGTATCTGAACTACCATAGCATAACATACATCAATATTCAACTTTATACATTTCATTAATTCTACTTTACAATTATCTATGTCTTCAAAAGGAGTAAAAATCTGTGGCCGGATAAAGGTCCAGCCAGTTCTACCTCCGCTAACACCTGATAAGTTCTATGCGGGCATTAGAAAACGAAGAGGACCTAAACGAATACCATTAGCAGAGGTTCTCCAAGGTCAGCAAAAGAAATCCAGCAATTCGCATCGGTCCTACACCATAGGTTATAAGCTTCGAGTACTATCATACTGGTATGGAAAAAATATTCAATGCGGTCCTACAAGATTCCGGGAGCCAACGAGAAATGAGGTAGGAAAGTATTTCAACATACCTGTAGGAAACCTGAATCGATGGAGAAACAACGAAAAGGAAGGATGGTTTGCTCAAGCAAAGCAGCAACAACGACGGATTGGGGGAGGGGGTCGGCAACGTCAGTGGAAAGAGATGGAGAGAGAACTCTACGAGGAGTTCCGACAAAGGAGAGCCCTTGGAAGGCCAATTCGGCGAAGCTGGTTCAGAAGAGTCAGTAAGGAGCAGTTTAAGAAGGTGTATCCAGAAAGGGATACTCAGCTTTTTAAGTTTTCAAACGGCTGGTTTCGGGGCTTCCTGCATGCACACCAGATTAGTCTGCGTATGATAACCAATACTGCGAGTAAACTACCAGCAGACTTCTCCTCCGCAATTCTCGATTGGATGAAATTCAATCGACGTAATTCTCAGCTCCATCCTGACAATGAGATGGGTCTAGGAGACGTACCTAAAGCTATTGGAAGATATATGTTAGCAAATATATGCAATATGGATCAAACCCCTTTACCCTTTGAGTATCTGGAAGGGCAAACTTATAGTAAAGTTGGAGAAAAAACGATCTGGGCACAAGCGAGTAGCACTTCAGGATGGGATAAACGACAAGGAACAATTCAACTCACCATATTTGCAGATGGCATTCCACGTGTCAAACCATTGGTTTTCTTCCGTGGAAAAGGCATCGGGCCAACAATTGTCACAGAGCAGCAACTCTATGACACTCGAGTGGTTGTAAAGTTCAACCCAACAGCATACGCCAACTCTACTAATATGGTAGAGTGGCTTGATGAACAGCTAGTTCCTGCGCTCAATGATCAGCCATCATTACTAGCAATGGATCTTTTTGCAGCACACAAGACCGAGGAGGTTCTTGATACGCTGTGGGCTAATGACATTACCGTAAGTGTCATTCCTGGAGGCTGTACTGGCCTAGTTCAACCGCTTGATGTATCAGTAAACCGGCCATTCAAGGATATTTTGAAGGTAAGATAAGAGTCTGATAGAAGATTAACTTACCTGCTGAGAATATTAATTGTTATTTTATAGGAAGAGTTAGACATACGACTAGACATGATCGATAGTGAGGAGGAAAGGATACGTGAAGCAGGAGGGAAACTTACCGGTAGCATGATTGGCCGGCGGAGAGTCGCTACAACATGGGCTGTAGGGAAAGCTTGGGAAAGGTTTTCCCAGGAGAAAGCGGAGGTTGTTCGGCGTTCCTTCCGCTGTATTGGTCTATCACTTCCAATCGATGGAAGTGAAGATAACGAGATTTCGATTAAGGGAATCGAGACCCACTACCTGGCAGAAGGGTTAGCAAGTTGCTATAGTAGAGGAGGACTTACCATTGGGGCTGATTTGGATGGCTTGGTAGAACTAGGAGAAGTTGTTCTCACTAGTGTTGTTGGAGGTGAGGTGGAGAATGATGAAAATGTTGAAAGTGATGATGAAAATGTATTTTTTGAATAGGTGCCAAGAGTTAAAAAAATGATATTGCGTGCTTTGCTAATCACTTGCTTGGTATGTGTCACCTTAATTTGACCACCCAGCACATTTTTCGTTTATTTTAGTTTTTACGGTATCGGTAATCTACTCGGGTAGGATTCATACAACATCGGGGATGGATATGAGATGGTTCTATTTATTGCCTTTCAATCACCACGCCCGAGCGAGACGACTGCGCCTCAACGCACATACCGGTAGTGTAAAGACGACCGAGCCTACTGTACGAGTACTTGTACTTCTCACAATCTGGCACAAGATGCTACGGTATGGCTTACCGCACAGCGGCACCAGTACCGGCGCAGGACTCCGGCTTCTATGACAGATATCCCGGGATGTCATCCCACATGACAAAACCTTGTATCATGTTTCCCGGTGCTTGTAGAGACTAAACCCGCGATAATTGGTCTGCCAGGAGGCGTACATATCGAGCATTCTATTGGACGTGGTCATCCGTACCGGGACTTCACACCCTTTTTGGTGCCGAAGGAGTAAAATATTAGAGCGCGCTTGTACGGTACAAGTAATACCGATACTGTGAGTAGATACAAGGGCTACTGTAGGCATAAAATAGTGGTGCAGGTACCGAGCAGGGTGTCGATGGCGGTTTTAGTCAAAGTATTGTACCTATTGTACCGTAGGTCACCTCTGCAACCAGCCCATTCGAAAATCCAACCCTTTCACTGCTCAAGAAGAGCCCGAAGGGTAGTTTTTTTTCTTTTCTTTTTTTCTTTTCTTTCTTCGATAGATGCATTGAATAGGGCGCGAAGCGCCCTACCGTATATGCTAATTATTCCTCTCCAAAGCCAACCGAGAGAAAGGAAAACAGTGATTCTCTAGGGGCCATGTTTCTCAGGTGCACCACTACCGGCACAGTACTGTTGAAATTTTAGTTATGCACCGTACTATTCTATGCCTAACCCTTGCACAGTGCTCGAGTATCATTATGCCATCGCCAACCTAAGCTATTGCCTACGACTAGAGACGGCCGTGGGCTACAAGTACACAAGCAGATAACGTGAAATCCTCAAATTTGCTTCTTTGAGATCAAGCCCGATTTCTCGTCGACTCTCAGGGCCCACTCACTAGATCCCAATAAGATTAGTCAGACCAGGTCAGGTGATAAACCGAGCAAAGGCCGCTCCGCGCTCCCCACGCGAGCTAAGGGTGGAAAAGGTAATGTTAACAATACGTAAAAGTGAATGTGCACTCACGTCCATGACCCGTCGTAGATTTCCCTCTTCCCTCCAAAGCCGGCTAACTGGAGAGCAGAGTCGATAACCGCGGCCGTGACACCGGTGCCGCACATGAGCCTTTTCTCAACCTCACCGGAGGGATCGACTCCTTTGCTAAGCAAGATCCTCCCAAGTTCCTCCCCAGAGCGCAGCTTTTTAGTGACGGGGTCGACCAGTTCGCTGAAAGGCACAGAGATCGAGCCAGGAATGTGTCCGGAGGGAAGCCCTAATTTTTACCCAAACACCAGTCATAACCAGAGTGCAAAAGTAGGGTATCACCATAGTTGACAGCAAGGCTAAACCCACCTGGCCTAGGCTCCGGATCGCTGCCCAAAAATCTCCCCTGCGGCCTGGCATCCAAAATCTGAACGCCTTCTCTCCCGCCTTCCTCCGCAATTTCTCGCATCTTCTCGAAGGAAGAAACAAGGCTCAAGTCCGGTTCGGTGACGGGGTACTGTGTCCTAGCAGCCTGCCCAACTGGGCCCTTCTCAACCGGAAAGCCCTGCTCAACCCATACCTTGAAATTATTCAAAAGGTGAACCCTCGGATGACCGAACACCCGGAATGTCCAGGCAGCCCTGGGCGCACTGAATATCCCAAGCTGCGGCGAGTCATATAGCACGACCGTGTCCTCCCTTGCAACACCCAACTCCGACATTGCCCTGGAGAATGTCTCTCCGGTTGGCAACATGTGTGGGTAGGGCGAGTCGTGATCTTTGATAGCATCCAAGTCGAAGAAGCGAGCCGTCGAAATTCGCAGCTTTCCGAATTCCTCAATGCCTTTGCGGGAGTCGTTTGGCAGGTACCATTCTGCTGAGATGGGGATCACGCGCGGGGTGTCGGGGCTGGCAAGCGGTGGGCTGGCTTCCAGGGCCTTTGCAAGCTCAGCTGGCTCAACGATGTAGGAGGCTAAGGCCCGGGTTGAGGTAGCCATAGAGAGTTTGAAATTGAGGGTCGTTCTTTTTGGATTTAGTGCGTGGATCAGGCCAAATGACGCCCTAGTTAAGGCCATGTTGGCGGAGGGGCGGGGCCGGCAGAATGGAAGATTTTTAAAAGAGGAATAAGGGCTAGTGAGGTAATTAGAAGAGACTAGAATCCAGCTTGCCTGACCAAGCAGACAAAGTCTAGAATTGAGAATGTTCCGGATCACCCAGAGCCCCGGAATGGTGTCCGTCGCGCCTGGAAGCCTTGGAGCTCTGAACGGTTGCCGGTGGGTTGTCAGAGCGCTGGTATTAACTTATATTATGATACGGTACTTGTAGCGCCGTAAGAGTCCTCAGTCCTCGCGACTCGTTAACTTAATAAACTGCGGGCCTCTAACCTCTGAATCCAGAGACAAGAGCTCCCCGAGGGGGATCAGTGATTCCCTAACATGGTTAAATTATAGCCCAAACCCATCTCATTAATTGGCATTTGCAACTCCATTTAGACTAGCTCATAAACATATCGCTAGCCGATGCGGTGATTTCCGTTGATAATCTGATAACTTACTCGAGTAACCTCCCAACAGGGGCGCCCACCACAACCCCTCGCAGAAACCATCCCGACAACGACAGAACTCCCCCAACCCACACACATCTATCCCTTGCTGTGAACCAAACCCCAACAAACACCGTCCCAAGCACAACGAGCCATGAAGGTCAGGATAAAGAAATGGAATGCGGTAGCCAGCTGGCGCTGGGACGTCCCCGAAGATGACGTCTGCGGAATCTGCCGCGTCCAATTCGATGGAACTTGTCCAAATTGTCGATTTCCTGGAGACGATTGTCCACTACGTTTGCCGCTCCCACCTCTCCTTGTGTTCCCACGATCCGAGGGACTGGGCTAACCGATGCGTTTGGGTAATTTCTAGTGGTTGGCAAGTGTGGGCATTCATTTCACTTGGTCGGTAACGCTCTTGTTTGTTCATTTTTCGGGCGCAGAGCACGATGCTAACATCTCCCGGTGAGGGAACAGCACTGCGTGAACGACTGGATCCAGACAGAAAGCTCAAGAGGGCTCTGCCCGATGTGCCGGCAGAAATTTGAATTCGTCGCTGAGTAAAGACTACACGAGGGAGCTTATAGGAGTGGTGTCAAACCGGGTCGAGCCGGGGGAAGGCGTTCTGGCTGGTCGTTTGGAGTGAAGACTCCACGGGGTTCAATGTGATTACACCATCAAGTTCTTTAATCCTCGTTCGCACAATATAATACCGTGTTCCATTCTTCTTACTCAAAATTCCAATCCGGCACCGTGCAATGCTACCGGATCTCTCAACAGCACCCGCCAAGCCAATAATGTCCAAAATGCTATCATACATATACCATTCGCGTCGCGTCACGCACCGTGGAGAACACGTGACTGGAGCCTCAACCTCACTCCAGCAGCCAGTAACTTCAAATGCCCAAAACCTTACAACACCGTACCATAGCTTTCACCTCCACTCATCCATCCATTCCCCAACGTCCACCACCACCAGTCACCCTTCCTATCTATCTTCACACAACACATACGACCGCTGCGAAGACAACAAGAGAAAAAAAAAAATAGAAAAAAAACTCAGCCCCCCAAAAAATAGAAAATAAAAATGACAAGCTCCCGCCCCCCCCACCGCCCACCGCTTCTCCCCCTCCCCCTCCCCCTCCCAACACCCATACCTCTCCTCCACCCCCCCAAGCTCAACACCTCACGCCTCCACCCCACAGCCGCCCGCCACCACCACCACCACCCCTGTCCTCCCTCTCTCTAGCACCCCACAACCCCAACCCACCCCCCAAACCCTAACTCCCTTCTTCACGCTGATCTCCAACCCGAGCAGCACAATCCACAAGCACCCGGCAGTCCACTACGTCTTCTCTGACGACGACTTCGACCCCATCTCTCCCAGTGCCAGCGGCAAAGAGCGAGAGCAAGAGCGCGTGGTGGTAGTCGACATGAACGCGGACGGGGAATCGGTCGCGGCAGCGCACAGTTTCTCCAGCGACTGGCAGGTCACTGGCGTCAACGTCGCCAGCGCTCCGCAGTGGATGGCCGGGGATGAGGATGGGGGTGGTGGAGGTGCGAGCGGGAGTGGCGGGGGGTTGATGTTGACCATTAGAGGGCTGGAGGCGCCGAAGGTTGGGTCGGTGGGAGCGGCGGTGACGGCTTCTGGAGCTACGGGGGGGGGGAAGGAGAGCTTATATGAACTCGCGGAGATGTACCACGAGAGGTTCGCTCCCACTCACCTGCTTATTTGCGTTGCCCTCCGCGCGCTAATTAATGCTGACGACGAGTACCGTTCCGTTAGAATGGCGGAAATCAAGAGCGTGATCGAATACGCCGAGAGGTCCGCCAGTGCCGGTGCCAGTGCTGAGCCGGAATCTTAAACCTTCACCCCCCTCCCCCTCCCCTATGATATCTCCTACTACTATTACCCTGCTTTCATTATCGTAAAGGCGCCATACCGGGAAAGGGTGACTATTGCTCTCTCCTATCTACCATCCCCACTTATTCATCTTATCTCATCCTTATCGGGGGGCGTTCAATGGCTGGAATTGCTTTTTTTTCTTCTTTTCAAGTTGGAGTTTCTTTTTTTCTTACCCTCCCTTTTTCCGAGCTCTTACCATGTGTTGTATGCCGCACGAGGAGCCGGAATGTCTCTTTTCTCCCAATTTGATAATTCAACCGCTGCAATGAGATTGAACCGAACTCATCTGGACCCGAATTACTCCAGTGAGAAGTAAAAAATAAAATAAAATAAAAAAAAAGTGAAAGCCGAGAGTGTAGAAGGGAAAACCTGGCTAGTACAATATAACGAGATGGTAAAGTACAATTTTGATGGTGATATAGCGTGGTTTGCTGCTATCATACCGCGACAATTGTCGGCACCCAGACTACCGGTAGATGGTGGAAACTCGATGTATCATACTGTACAAAAATATAGCCTAGGCCAAGAGAAAGAGAAAATGGAACACCCAGAAAACCTTAACCTGATGCAAGAAGTAATAAAAACCAAATGGCTGATCCGGACAGAAGCAAACAAAGTGAACCATATACAAGATGCAAGCGCGAAGTAAGTGGTATAAAATAACAAGGGCGGGCGGGAGAGAACAAAAAAGAAAAAAATGAGGAAAATGAACTCTTTCACATCACCACCAATTACTCTTCCATCTCATCGAGATCTCTTCCTGTTACCAGCGGTTATCGGCGCTGCCGGCCCAGCTGCACTCCCAGCAGAGTACCCCCCTCTGGCAACCGCAAGTTTCTGTCCCCTAGTCCTCTTGGCTGGGGGTTCGTCATCCTCATCCTGCTCACCCTGTCCGCCATCGGCACCACTCACCCCCCCACCACCCCTAACGGGGATGCCGGTATATGCTGCGATATCCGTTCCGAAGAAGATTTTGTGGGCGTAGGCGGGGTGACCGGCCGTTGCAAGTTTGCCAAAAACGCCTGATTTCGGGTCAGTCGGCTCTTCATGTACATTTTTGTTCGGTGAGTGGACCTCTTTCTCTCCCAAGGGTGTACGGGTAGAGTTCTTTCTGCGCGTCACAGGCTTCAATAGAAGCTCCTCGCGCGGTTGGGTGTGCGGGAGCGTGGTTGGATACTCGTATGTTCGGCGTTTAGGGGTCTCGCCGGTCGGGACGTACTCTTGGAGAGGCGCGGACTCAATGTTTCCGCGCAGCTCTGAGAGGGGTTGCTTAGCTGTGGAGGTGATGGGCTCGAGGATCCCTTTTGACAATGAGGTCTGCTCCGAAATGTCATTGCCAAAGGAGTCCAAGTCCTCCGCGAAGCCTTTCAACTCTCCCTCCATGCGACCATACGACTCCCGAACGGTTTCTGACAGGCCACTAAGGTTTTGCGTGAAAGCCTCGAAGTGGGCTTCGTTCTGCGATCGCGCCCGAGTGACAAATTCGTCCAAGGCTTGCATCTGTACTCCAACGTCTTGCATTTGTGCATCCACCAGACGGACCGTCTGCGCGTTAATTGCTTGTGTTGTAGCTTGAATCGAGGCATTGTGCTTCTCAGCATCCTATAGACAGGGTTCATATTAGCTTGCTGTCACCCACCAAGACAGCATAGAATACAGTATAGGGTACGCACCTGCCAATCCTGTACCAATATCTTCTTGAGCGAGTCTTGCGAGATCACCAGCCCATCGATGAACCTCTCCTGCCCCCCGGACCATTGATCCATGCCAACGTTATACTGTTTTGTAGCCTCATCAAGCTCCCCTTTCGCACCAAGAATCTCATCCTGCACCAAGCGAATACGCTTGGTGAGGCGTTTGTCTTGATCCTCCGCCGTAGCGTTGATGAGAGCAGTTACTTGACTAATCAGATTTTGGCGGTCCGCAGCAGCCCGTTCGCGCTCCTCCCTAAGGATCAAGTCTAGGCTAGATTGCGCGGTATCAGTAGCAATAACTACGGCAGCGGTAGCCGAGCTGAGTTGAAGCCGAAGTTTCTCAGCTTCAGCCTTTTGGGCAATGATCCGTTTCTCCGCATCATCGAAAATGGCCTTGAACTCTTTACCAAGTTGATTATACGAGTTATGGAGCTACGGTACGATAAGCCGCTGGACATGCATCTTACTAGGCACCAATGGGAGTGGAGAGCTCCTTACCTGAACACCGAATTTACCCAAGTCCTCCACTACCTCGGCAGAAATTCTCTGGGCAGCTTCATTCAGTCCCTTCAAACCCTCGCCAACCTTCCGCTTTACATCTTCCCGCAAGATCTTGATCTCTTCCAAGACTTGATTCATTTCATCCTTGGCCTTCATTGTCTCGGCCGACAATTCAGTCTCTCCACTCCGGAATCCCCCGAGCCGAGCCTCAATGTATTCGTACGCAGATTCAAGCTTATTGACTTCCGCAGCAACAAACGCTGACATCCTCTCGGAAACATTGTCCGTGATCCTCACTTGCTGCTCAGTGAAAGAGCCGATCTCCTTCTCGACAAGCTCGGTGATAGCCGAAACCTGCCCCGTGGACTTCATCCAACTGCTGTGGTTGACCACCTCAAGATCCGTCATCCTGCGGATTTTGGCGTGCAGACCATTAACATCGTGGACAGTTTCGTCAAGCCTTGTTATCAGTTTTTGCCCTACATCCTTAAGCTCCTCTTCGGTTTTCTCATGAGCTTCCCTTAACACGGTCTCATCAGCAAGATCCTTCTGGGTGCTCGAGAGGTCGATTTCGGTCTTTCTGAGTTCTCCTTTTGTCTCTTCTAGAACGCCCTTGGTGCCTTCAAGTTCCTTCTTGAGCTCCAAGAACAGCCTCATATTCTGTTCAAACTGTTCTCGGGTGTTCTTGATTTGCGTCTCCATAACATCAATCTTCCTCTGCTGCTCTTCGTTCAAGATTCTTCGACTTTCGCTCTCCTCAGTCATTGCACTGTACGATTCAGTAGTCAAAAAGACACCATTCTTCTGTCGTGTTGCCATGAGATCGCCCTTGAGCTTCTCGATTTCGGTAACGTATTCTCGTATCAGTGCCTTCTTGGTCAGCATCTGGTTGATCTGCGGCTTATTCCGTATATTTTTAGCACGAGCGGCATAGTCCAGAGTCGAAATAGTCTCCTCGAGATTGCTCTTGGCGGGTGATACGGTAGCAATAATGCATGTTTTTGTGCGTCCACCAAGAGAATCTTGTAAAAGACGGGTGAGCTTCGATTCCCTAGGGCACCATATCAGACCGCGTCCAGCTGTCGAGGCAAGGATTGAAACTCCTACCTGTATGGGATATGAGGGGACTTGTCAACCAGAGCGTTGATAACTCTCCCCAGGGTCAAAAGGCTCTGGTTGATCATTCCTGCCTCCCTGGCTCTTTTATTCTCTGCCCCGGATCTCCCAATATTCTCGGACCCAGCTAAATCCACTAGGTTAAGCTTTCCAGTCCTCAACAAATCCTCGCCATCCTCACCAATTTCCTTGACATGTACAGTAATCGTAAAGACAGTGTGGGATCGCGAACTGAGGTCATTGCATTTTGTCGCTGCAACCTGGCGTTTATGGCTTCCCTCTTGTAACAGTTTGACACCATCCTCGGCATTCTTGATGAAACTCTCCTCCATACCTTGGATAACTATTCCCTTGCGAGTGGAGTCCTCAAAAATCTTGACCTTGTTATTTTCGTCCGAGGCAAGTAAGTCCTTAAGTTCTTCGTTGTAAAGCTCGATGAAGGAGCACTTGACAGAATTGTCTGCCTCATCGATGCCAAGCTTGTGAAACAGCTGATACAGAGCTCGGGGAATGATACCGGCAGAATCAGAGTAGGTCCCAAAGTTATCCGTCATATCACCGGACATGGTATAAGTCTTTCCAGTCCCCGTCTGTCCATAAGCAAAGATAGTACAATTATATCCGGAAAGCATCTGGAGAGAGCTCGTCAGTATCTGCCATAGCAGGAAAAAACGCGCAACCCTATGTTCCGGGATATTCACCTCTTCAAGTATAGGCGCAACAACATTATCGTAAATCATATTCTGGTTCGCCTCCGGTCCGAAAACGCGATCGAAGGTGTAAGTCTTGTTACTCAACGCCAAAGGCCCCATCGACAGGGAAACCTCCTTTCCACGCAAACCTCCCGGCGTAGAGACTACGACACCGCTATTCTCCTTAATCTCCCTTTCGGAGCGTCCTCTGCACCTGACAACGACGTTGATGTTTGCTTCATTGTCTTCCTGCTGTGGCGGCGGCTCCTCGGCAGAGAGATCCTTCTTTATCCGCCGTTTTGTTGGCGAGGTATTGCCCCGTGCTCGAGAGGAGACTGAGGCTACAGACCCGGCGGGAGAGCTGGGAAGAGTTCCGGCTCCCATCCTCGCGGCAGTCATGTAGGACTGCGGGTGAACCATGCCGTTTCGTGAAGATGGTCGTGCGGTTACTGGAGCGCGCATTGTGCTGGATGAAGCGTTTGTCTTCCGAACTCCTCCGTTCTGGGCACGGGAAGGTCCAGACATTACTCTTTGCGAGTTGTTTCTTTCCCTGTTATTGTTTTAACGTAAAGGAGAGGGGGAGGGGTCCGCAATATCCTTGGTGGGGAAGGTTTTTTGTAAGGGGAAGGTTTCTGGCAGACCAATTTTTTGCAGTAGTGGTGGGCTTTATGGGGGGAGGTGATGGGATTGTTTGTTTACCTTTTTCCTTGGTAGGAACCCCCAGCCGAAAACACAAGCGAACCATTAGTACTAGTAAACAGGGTGAGGTTCACTTGAAATCACTCACTCTTGGCGTCAGGTGTCAACAGTTTCTTGGCACACCTGAATCCCGGAATTCTGGAGCTCTCGCCATGTTAAAACCTTGGGTCTACCTGCTTGTGTATAAACAAGCGCTACAACAATCTCTAGCGTCATACACAAAAATAATACCTTTCCCCCGATACCCCTCAATTCACCACGGATTCCCCCCAGACATCCCAGATATCCTTCCTGAATTCAATCCATTTCCATTCTCCGGCATCCTCCCCGCCGTCCCCACCATCTGTGGCAACAGCAAAGTAATGCCCCCTTGATAGCCTTCCAATCTCCAATTTCCACTCCGGTCTCTTCCCACCATCGATATAAACCTCTATCCCCTCACATGCCCCATCCTCCACATCATGTAGATTCACTCCCCGGAATTCAACAGCAAGCAGGTTTGTCACAAGACCCGTGCCTACAGCCTTAACATACGCCTCCTTCAGTGCCCAATACAAATACAACATCTTGACCTTCTCGTCGTTCCTTAGTGGGGAGAAGATGGCCCCAATCTCGAAATCCGTAAATACCCCAGAAGACCTGAAGCCCTCCAAGAACGTCTGCGCGGATCCAGAGCGATTGTAGGCATCGGGCACAAGATCGACCCCGACCCTCTGCTGTCCCGTTGATGGAGGGGCGATGCGGGCTACTAGGATAACAAGACAGGGCAACGATGGGTTCCGGGAATTATGGTGCGATACGTTGTAATCCTTCAGCTCCCGTGTCTGTCCCTCGGCTGCTGGAGGTGGGGAGTAAGACGGCCGACCGCTCTTCTCATCCTTGATGATCGGGATTGAAGATAGATTGGGGATGGATGCGCTTGGCTTCCCACCACTGTGAATTTCTGAGATTGCGAGTCGCTGTAAAAGCTGTGATCCCAGGGCTAGTTTGCGGTCGGCAGTGAAGTGATACTTAGTCACCCGAGCTTGCGTTGCAGGTGAGAGAAGATTGAGAGCCTCTGCGAACTAGATTTCACCCAGTTTTGTCAGAATGAAGCTGCGACGGAGGATCTCATCAACCGAACCTCTTCGGAGGTGTTCCATAGTGGGGCAACGTCGAGAGCGTAACGGAGCAGCATCGTCTACCTCTGAATTCGCCGGAGGGTTGCTCACGTAAAGAGTTGTGGAGTGGTTTTAGTCCAATCCATCAAATCTGGCGAGAAGATAGAACAATGGGATGACTCATAAAAGACGTATAAAGCCACAAGTACGGTTACTCGAGTACTCAAGCCAGGCGGGATATGGGGTCAGCTAGCTGGATGACAGGCAAGAGAGAAAAAAAACTCGCACCCGAGCATGATATCAGTTGTCAGTTCATCACATCTGGTCATCCAGGGCACAAGTACCTGATACCAGTATGCAACTGTAAATACATTGTGTCATGGAATTGATATGATAATAAGGTTCTGCTGGTCAGAACGCGCTATCAAACAGGGATTCCTAGCTGTGCAAGTTAACTCACGGCACTCGTGCTGTAAAACATCCACTGCAATCCGTCTGCCAAGTGCCGGACCGTGCAAGATGTGATTGAAGCAGAACCACGAGACCACCACAACCACAAAACAATAAGTTATACAATGCCATTCAAATAACTTACTTTACAGGGAAGTATTAAAGCATGGCTCTTAAAAGTAAAAACCGGTACCACCTTGCTGCTCAACTCCTATACACGTCTTTATATTTTTGCCACAAAGTCATATCCCAAGCAAATAGGAGAAAAGTTACCAGTAATATGTATGCTTATGAGATTCAGAACATATTTCCCTCAAGAAGACAACCGGAAAAGAATTCAAAGGATTTCGGATGTAAAGATGCTAAAATAAAGAGTGGATTGATTGACAATAGAAAGAATAATAGGAAACCTATCCAGAGCCAAAACACCTACCAAGAAATGTAAAATAAAAATAAAAAAGGAAAGAAAGAAAAGAGAGAGGAGGGAGGGAGAGAACAAAGAAAAGCCTATCGAAAATCAGAGAACAAAATAACCCTTCCCAAGTGCCAGAGCTTCAAGTTACTCAAACCTCTTTTCCGTGGGACCACGTATTTCGCTCCCCGAGCATAGTAACCTACAGCATCCATAGTATAACCGCGGCCAATGAATCACCGAGTATTGGGTGTCTCTTGGGCGCCTTCGGAAGTAACTTGGGTTGGCGTGATTCTCCTTCTCTTTTTATCGCCTCCGGTAGCAGCGCCCGATACACCTTCAGTTCCGTTACCGTCCTGTTTCACTGGCCCCTCATCCCTCTTCCCAAGGACACTGGAATTTGCGCCCAATGGAGTCTGAGGCGGGGTAGTCAACGGCACTCCTGTCACAGATGCTGACACACTGGGTAGGCTCCCAACAGTAGGCCTAGGGTTGTTGATAGCTGTAGAGCCCAGGGTGCTTATAGAAGAGGACGACGAAGAGCGTGTCGGGGAGTTTGAATGACGGGCTAGGGGTGCCGGGGAGACCGGCGGAACCGGGGTTAGGGGGGTCTTGTGGGTCGGGGCAGGGTTTGAGGTTGGATGAGTAGGAGTTCCTGAGGGAGTTGTTGCCCCCGTACCCGCGATCGGGCCCGTGTACTTTTCACCCAGCTCACCGGGAGAGAAAACGACCACGGAGCAAAACCCATCCGTGGATGTCATCAGCAGTGTGTTCCCATCCGACGACCTACACGAATTTGAGGTTAAACACCTGTGGGGGTGGGTGGAAGGAGAGCAGGACTAACCATGTGAGGTCTGTGAAGGCTGCATAGTGCAAATTGCTAACTATGCAGAGCGGCGTCTGCTGCTGGGTGTCATATATTAGAACCGCATCTTGTGTCGCCACAGCGTACACCATTCTGTACGGCAGCGAGAAGGCGGTGTTAGAGGGCGCGCTAGTACTAGGAGCCGAAGTAGTGGGGTCTGGACCGGATGGCTGAGAAGCCGGAGCTCCTGGTACCATACCAGATGGCCCCAATGTATCATTTTGGCCACCAACCGCTGGCGGAGGTAACAAGGAAAGTGCGTCTTCAGGTGAGGATGTATCGACGGTTATGTGCTTTGTTGTAGCCAACGACTTCCGGAATGTGTATAACACAGATGAGCATTTGACCGCTATTGAGGGCTTTTTATGGCCTGGGAGATGGGCAATGGGTGGCTTGTTCAACCCCGCCCTGGTGTATATATATACCGTATTGATTACATCGTCTGCCGTCTTTGCCCCGTCTCCAGTCGCGGGATTAGAAGTCCTATATTGCCCGGCCGGGGTAAACAGAAGACTTCCATCCGGAGTAAATGTCAGCCGACGGAAAAATGATGTCAATGTCTCATTATAGTATATGTTTGCGTTTTTGACGCCCAAGCCATGAACCTTTGGTGAGAATTCCATTGGCTTCACCGCCGGAAGAGGCAGAGCCGGGGAAGGCGATGTGGAGCGACGAAGCGACGGAGATGAGCTAAATGAACTCCTGCGACTGGCAGCGAGTATGGGCGGGTTCATCGGAAGCGAGAAGGATGTAGGTGTTCCAGGAGTCGACGGCGCAGGGGAAGCGATGACCGGCGCATCGCCGAGTGGAAAGTTTGTACCGCGGGCAGAAAAGTCGGGTGGGGCGGGACTGCTGGACGATACCCTCCTCCGAGGTGGGAGATCCATCCGCGAAATCTTGCCATGCTGCGAAAGAGAGAATTGGCCATCCTTTGATTTGAGTGTATAGATATGGACCGAGCGATCCGAACTCTGAGTGGCCACGAATTCGTTCAGCGGATCCCAAGCAACGCCCTGGACATAATGGTTGTGTTCGGCAATCTGACGAACCATTTGACCTTTAAACATGAGTTATAAGCCCTCACCACACGATAGATGCAAATGCCGGAAACATACCGGTCTGAGCGTTCCAAACACGGGCAATATTATCCATGCTTCCGGTGATAAAAAATATACCATCGGGGGACCAAGCAAGATCGTAAATCTCCGAACCCATGGATCTGCACATGTGCTTAAGCCTCCAGGTTTCCTTATCCTCGAGATCATCCTCGCCGAACGTGCCATAACGATGGCCAGGCTCCGCGGGAACCCAAAGTATGATGTTGCCGTCATCGCCTGCCGACGCAAGCATCTCACCTATCGCAACATATTCAGCAAACTTGAAGGCACACCACCAATCCCACACAGGAAGCGAAGCCCAGACGAACCTCGCGGACAAAAGCGAACAACGTTAACGGCCTGGTTATGCTTCGCAAGAGTGCTCAAGTAGACAACCTTGCTCTCCTCGCCCTCGCCCTGAACCCTCCAGATCTGTGGAGTGTCAGCACAGGAACTCGCCGAACACGGGGGCCAAATCGAATGAAGAGGGAACATACTCGAACATTAGTGTCCCCGCCGGCTGTGGCAAGCCGACCTTTTCCGTTGGGCTCGAAATGTGCGCTGTATATGGGTTGATTGTGTTCGTGCCAGTGAATGGTGAGTGGGATAGCCTTCATATTGCCGTTCCTTCGGGGGTCCGAGAGCTACGGCGGAAGGAAGGCGTTCGGGGGCAGAAGGAAAACGAGTGCTCCAGTTATCAATGGGCAGGAGGGAGAGGTAGTGGTCGTTATTATTATTCTTGTTATTTTTTGTCTATTTATTTTGAAAAATTCCGAGAGGAATTGGTCAATAATGTGTTGAACAAACAATAGGTGGAGGAGGGAGGTTGTTGTGACGTTGAGACGAAGTGGTGGTGGTTATGGGATCTTGTTGGTGCGGCAACTGGGGTTCGGGGGGGGGGAGCATATGATATGATACCAGTCCTGTACCGTACTGTTAGCGCTATGGTAGAGTACGATAGCGGTAGACTAGGCTGTGAGGGTCGTGCGTTGCTACGAGGCCATTCAGTACTGTACCGTATGTGTATGATATGATGGCCCCGAGAGCAACAACAAGTTTAATGTATGCACAGGAATCAGTGGGCGGTAAACGGGAAAAAGAAAGAGAAGAAGAGGGAAAGCTGTACGACACGAGCATCCCCTTGGGGGAGCCGGGCAGCGTACGGTGCTCGGCCATGCACTGGTTACTCCTACTCTACCGCACGGTATAGCGTGTGCAGAAAGAATCGCCTACCGGTACCGTGTGATACTGCAATCTCGTAAGCACTGTATGATACTTGCACCTCAACCTGATTTCTCCAAGTTCTGGAGGGTCACGATGCCGCCCACACTGTAGCCTACCCAAGCCCTTTGAGAGTTACGGTCTGAGACGTCGGCACGGAATTCCACAACCCTGTACCCAGCCCAGCAGTCAGCCAGTACCCGTACTCGCGCTCCGGGGAGCAAATCCTCAGGCGCAGAATTTATGCCAGTCCATCTTGCAGAAATCTGGTACAATAACCGTATTAAAGTGGGTCCATATTGTCGGAGCCTGAGTACCGTAACTGTACGGATTGTACAACATATCTCCTGAGTCCTGACAAATACCGGTAGGCGAGCGAGGAGTCCTCACTCACTCACCATACGGCACCGGTGCACATCACACGAGTATGCATCCGGGATATTACAAATACTCAAACTTTCCAATCCCACCGTATATACAAAGCTTGTCATCGTCGTCGGTGGTGTCGGGTGGTGTCGTTGCTGTAGTAGTTGTTGTTATTGTTGTCGTTGTCGTTGTTGTTGCTGCGTCCGCTGCTGCCATTCGTTGTTATGACAATGCTGCGCCTGCCTGCCGGTATCTTGTCGCATCACCCATAACCTTATGATTTATGGTAATTAGGCATCGCTGCTCGAAGAGTGTGCTCCGGGGCACTCATTTGCGGTTGTGGATTTAGAACTCGGGATCAAACTCACCATAGGCATTTCGATCCGCTACGATGCCCTACCGGTACTCACACCTTCCCGATTACCGCTCTCACTCTGGCACATGCCACGAGACAAGACCACGGGGAATATCGCCTACCAAGGGGAAAGGCGCCGGCACTGTACTCGAGTACTAGTACTAGTATATACTCGAGTACCGTACCTGCCCCATACCGGCACCGTGTGGTACTGATAAAACGCAGGGCGTGCACGAGTGGAAACGGACACTCCGCCATCCGCCATGGGTAAACAAAGCATGGCACAAGGCAACGCATTGATCGTAGACTAACGGCACGACAACTTCTTGCAGGCACAGTTCAGTAATAACTTGGGCTGCAGGCGAGCGCAGGTCGCCGGCTCTTCAGTCTACCGGTACTTTCCTCCTCCGACCGCCGTGCTATCACGAGCCAGACCGATAGATATACCGTAGCCGTCACGTAAAGTGTCTAGTTGTCACTTGTGCACGCCGCTACTCGTATGATATTGCTTACCACACCCGCATCACGCCCATCTATCGGCCGCACAGGCACAGAGGTTCACAGAGTATTGCGCGGGTACCGGTACGAGTACTGTGCCGCCACCACTAGACTACCGGCACACTCGCGATACCGGTATTCCTGGGCTAGACTATCATACCGGTACCGTAGAGTACTTGTACGAACGGAATACCGGTACCCGTACGGCACTTGCACAGTACCCTGGACCATGAGCGGGCTCGTAATACGGTGCCGCTATTATCCTATAATGAATAAGCCATACAAAATATCTTGGCGGATGCGGATTTTGTAGGGCAGAGGGCTTGTCCCTGGAATCCTCGCACCGTCTGAGCTGCCGCCGTGTACGGTACGCGAGTACAGTACCGTACAGTACAGTACTCGAGTACAATATCGTAATACCGTTACACTCGAACCCAGCATCGGCAGTCCATCGCTCTGCGGACCCAAGCTCAACCGAATGCGACCAGCGAGATCCGCCAAAAAAAAAAAAAAAAAGAAGGGCTTGTGGGTTCTGAACCCGATCCAGTCACCACTGAGTCGGAAGAGACCTCTCAATTCCCAGGTGGATCAAACTTCCGGGCGATCGGAGGAAAAAGAGGCTATCGGTGTTGGGGTCTGAATTTTTTCTGATTATTCTTCTCCGATGGAAACCAATCATGGGGCTGCAAACAGGGAGGAAAGAGAAAAAAAGAAAGAAAGAAAGAGAATAAAAAAGAAATTTTTTGGGGGTCTCTGTTGGAATGTCTGACCATGCCATGGGCAGCAGATAACGTGTGCAAGCGGTGCCAATCCTATGCGGTAGCACTTCTTACAGTCTAACTTATCCCAAAGTGACCCCCCATCATAATCCCGGAACAAGAGGTGTGGAGAACCCCTTGGGGTTCAGCTGGGCGGACTGTGTGATGGAATTACAAGGGAATGCCGCAACAATACGGTATGACTCTCGTAGCGGGAGCAATCGTAGCAGATGGAGAGAAGATACGGTACCGTACGGCACCGGTATCCAGCAACCGGCGAATAGTCCAGCTACCGGTAGGAGTGCGGCACCGTATTTATAAACACGATATCAACGAAGCGTCGGGTGAATCTCAACAAGAGGGACAGGAGGGGAGGAGCAATGATAGTCTACCATCCACCCGCCAATCGCAACTTGGGGCCTAGCTCTGACTTACAAGTGGGGGAAATGCCTGAACCAAGCATTCGAGAGAATGAGGGGGGGTCCTCGCATCAACGTGCCGTATACCACCGGTATCCGTAACTTGAGAGCAATGTATTATCGGTAGTGCATGGGTACGAATTACTCGAGTACCGTATTATCTTGAATAAGAGAGAATCACGCTAAGAGGTCGGATTAAGGCTTAGACGCTACCTCACATCTGTATTGGGCAAGAGAGGTTGCCGATCAGTATCTGAGACAGAAAATCAGGAGAGAAGCTGAACCTCATCCTAAGTAAAATAAGATGGCGGGAAACAAGAAGGCTGATAAACTCAGTCTTGTGTACCATACTGGTATCACAACAACAGACGCGTTTGTTATCCAAAAAAAATGGCAGAATCTTCTCATGCTGTTCATGTTCATGCCAGTATTCTTAATACTGTAGATGTTGATGTCTTTTATAATCGAATCTCTAGCAAGTTACCAGTAGTAAAGAAACGCCCTGGACCCAAACGCGTCACTACCTCCAGCAATCCCCGACCACCTACTACATTTCGTCCTTCAGTCTCAGTTACAAAAAAATCCTACACGGTACGGTATAAGCTCCAAGTCCTTGCCTATTTACACCAGGCTAGCATTCCTAATGGCCCACAATCCACCAATCGAGTACGTAGGCCAACCCTTACCGAGACCTCTGTCCGATTCAAAATCCCTATTGCCAATATATCTCGGTGGAAGCAGGCTGAATCCAAATTACTCACAAGAGTAGGAACTGAGAGGCGGAGCCGGATTGGAAAAAGAAAATGGCCGGTTCTTGAAAAGGAACTCTATGACGCTTTTCAGGCTCACCCGCAGCAGGGAAAGATTGTGCGCCGAGGATTTTTTCGTGTTAAAGCCAAGCTGTTATTTCAACGGCACCATCCTAATCAAGGAGAGTTTAGATTTTCTTGTGGCTGGTTTAATGGTATGGTTAAGAATAGAACTCCCAGAAATAGTATAAAACTTGAAGCTTATCTAAGATGCATGAATAGGATTTCTCAATTGGTACAACATTTCATTACGGTTTGGAACAAACAAAGCAACAAAGATACCGATGGACTTGTTCAATATATTGGTCAATTTTGCGCGATTCAATCGCCGCAACTCTCAGATACGGGATGGAGATATACCAGGTACCGTAGGACGATACCGATTACGCAACATCTGCAACATGGATCAGACCCCACTTCCCTTTGAGTTTTTAAGCGGTCAGACCTACAATATAAAAGGCGAGAAGACTGTGTGGATAAAAGGGGCAACTAGTGGTTGGGATAAGCGGCAAGCTACCTTGCAGCTTACTGTTTTTGCAGACAGTGGAAATTATGTGAAGCCTTTGGTCTTTTACCGTGGTAAGGGTCTGGGAGCAGGTGTTTTACAAGAGATGAAAGAATATGATCCCCGGGTGGTGGTAAAGTTTAACCCTACTGCATATGCCAATAGTAGCAATATGGTAGAATGGTTACAGGAGCAACTTATACCTGTTTTGGAGAACTATCCTACTCTTTTGGCTGTTGATTTATTCTCTGGACATAGAACCAAAGAGGTCTTGAGTACTATGAAAGACAATGATATTACTGTCTCGGTCATCCCTGCTGGATGTACGAGTATTGTGCAGCCATTAGACATCTCAATCAATAGGACTTTTAAAGAGCTGTTACGGGTATATATTATATTTACCTTTTCCTACCTCCTTCCAACATTCCGATCTCTAATGTTCTTGGATAACTCCTCTGGACCAGCCTTATACCTCTACTAAGATGAAGCTTAGTAAATCTTAAATACAAAGCTAATATATCAATAGGAAAAAATTGAGGAAGGAGAAGAAAGAATGAGAGAGAAAGAGGAGGCCCTGGTTGGTACTGGGAGAAGCCCGATAGGCAGCAGGGTTGGTCGTAGGCGAATTATGACAACATGGGCTATTGGGGAGGCATGGGAGGAGTTTTGTGCTAAACGGCGTGAGGTTATTATTCGTTCTTTCACAGCAGTAGGACTTTCTTTACCAATTGATGGTAGTCATGACCGTAGTCAGCTTTCTTTAAAAGGTGTAGATATGGAAAGATTTACGGAGGATATACAAAATTGGCAAATGGGAGGAATTGAGAATGGTGAAGGTGAGGATGATGAGGAAATCATCTCAGAAGCAGAAGACAATAGTGAAGCTATTGAATATGTTATTGGTCCCCTAAGGACTGAAGAATGATATTGCCGATCACTCTAATCTTATAAAATTGCGCAAGCATATGTCTCAGCCTTGATTTAACCTCTTAGCGTGATTCTCTCTTATTTAAGATAATACGGTAGAGTGGAACACCGGTATCATGCCGGGAGAATATCATCTTAATATTATCGTACTGGAGCCATTGAAGAGCATGGAGGAACTCTATTCGTTCGCTCGACGATGGCAGGTGTTGGTGGAGAGGTGGATCACCTTAGCAGGAAGGTCGGTCCGCCAGCAGTCCACAGCGCACAAGGATCGATCGGCCTTCTTCCTCTCCTTCCTTCCCTATTTGGGTCCCGCGATTGGCTGCCCTACGGTACCGTACTCGTAGGTTACTCGTGCTATGGCTGCGAGAATGTTTCCGTGCCGCATTGAGTGGGACTCGAGTGCCGTACCGCACTTTGTTTTTTTTTTTAATTTTTAATTTTTAATTTTTAATTTTTAATTTTTAATTTTTAATTCATATGTTTATTGATTATGGCTCAAAAACCTACATGCACCTCGCGGTATGGCAATAGAAAAAACCTTAATTTCACACACATAAAACAAAGGAAAACATATCTCTCCAGGTTCGAAGCCTCCCTGGGCCCACACAGGCTAGGCCTGGTGATTGGCCACTATTTTGAGCTAATATAGCCCCTCGTATCATGTTAGATGACTGACAGATAAGAGGCACCTGGGATGAGGTGGAGAAAGAGACCAACTTTACTATTGAGCATAGTTGCCTTAACCAAGTCCATGGCAGTGAGAGTGACCAGGCCACCGACTAAGGAGACAGACTGGATCAGAGTAGAGGCCAAGGCCTGGTTGATACCATCATGGAGCTGGATGGTGGTAGAAGTTAGGGGGGAGCTGTTCCTCTTAATGAGAAGACGATACTCTTGTATGGTAATGTTAAGAATCCTACCAAGTAGGACTGAGCGACAGGTAACGATACTTCTCGTGATATAAAGTGATAGTTCTTAGGCCTGTGCCTACGCGATCCCGATAGTCCAGTCCTATGACTACTATCTTGTTCGCGCCTATCTCTTTATTCTTCTCCTTAGTCCTTGCATAGGACTTAATCTCTCCTCATGGGAGGAAAGACAATTCTTGGGTTTCTTAAGATAAATCTTAAAGAGCATAAAGGTAGGTTTTATTGACAATAACTTGAAGGTAGGAAATAAACAAGAAGAACATGTGAAGAGCTAATACTAGGGGTCCTAGTGACCCTTTATATAGTAGCTCTTCACCTGGCGTGACTCATACTTATGCGTCACACGAACGTTGTGACTCATAACTATGAGATATGCGAAATCCATCAGCCAACTCCCATGAGTCGCTGCGCAACATGCCTAAAACCAATCAAAATATAATAACCAAGTCAGGTGCGCAACTCGCGTCAACTGAGTGAAACCCATGACTTATAAGTATGAGTCATGTGCGAAACTTATAACATCATATGACTCACAATTGTGAGTCACAAACAGGTAAACATAATAACCTATGGCGCACTAGTGTGCGTCATATGAAATCCCAACATACCTATAGCTCGGAATTGCAAGCTATGTAAAATCTGCTTTGCTTAGTCACAGTTTGTGACAGGGGAGACCCTTTCTTGCAGATTGGGCAGTAGCTGGGGGGGAGGATTTGAGGGCCTGAGGGGCCACCTTCTGGGTTCTAGGGGTGGGCCTCCTGGGCTTTCTAGTAACTGTTGCTCAGCTAGGGGGGACAATGAGAGCAGGGGCGGCAGGGGCAGCAGTAGTAGTAGTAGGAGGGGCCGAGAGGAAGTCTGGGACAGTGGGGTTCAAGGGAGCTGGGGCAGGGATGGTGGAAGCAGGCTGAGGGGGAGGGGGGGCACGGGCTGCCTCACATTCCTTAGTAAGAGCGGCAAGGTTCTCCGTGAGGCCATCAACTGCCTTCCTGTAGTTATTATACATCAACTGCATCATCCTAAAGATGATGAGCCAGGAGTTGCCAAGTTTGTGATTATCGGTAAGGCCCATTTAAAGACCTATCGTGATGATAAGGTCTTGAAAATATGGGGCACCAGGGACGGACCCCACCTGTACCTCAGGAGGTATCGCGGAGAGGGTGGAGGTAGTATCACTTTATGGCCTCTTAAGAGAGGGCAGGCCCAAGGGCCGAAAGATGGGTGGTAGGTCGCTACCTCACCATGCTGGAGGATCCCAACCAGGGGCAGCAGGAGAGGAGGCAGTAGTTCCGGTAGGCTCAGAAACTAGAGGTGACTGAGGGCCTTTCTTCTTCTTCTCGCCTGAAGAGGTGGAAGGATCCATGGCTGGGGGGGAGAGGGCTCCTAACTGGGGATAAAGAAGCGAGGCTGTAAGAAAAGTTTTTCAGCCAATAACAGAAGGTCTTGGCAAAAAAGAAGGTGTGGTTTTTTCTTTGACTATAGTTGTAATGGACACGGAGGATGGCTGTACATCAGCAAAAATTATTCCTGCGTCAGACATATAGGTAGTGCGTCCTGATGCAAGGAGAGAGAATTTGGCATCCGGTGCATCCTGTGCATTTGGTACCTAGGCACCTGGTCTGGTTGCATCCTGAGTGTTGAGTACTTGGGTACCGGGTCTGGTTGCATCCTGTACGTCTGGTAGTTAGGTGCCAAGTCAGGTTGTATCCTAGTACTTATGCTAGGAAGTACTACATCCAGATTACATCCTAAGTGAGCAATGCGGACTAGTTACCATCCTAAAATTCCGAGTGATAAATACAGCTGCCAGCTGCTCCCCCATTACTACCCTCCTACCGGTTCTCCCCCTATGGGCTTCCCCCCTACTGGCTCTCCCCCTACTGGCTCTCCCCCTACCAACCCCCCCCCCTACTGGCACCTCCCTGGCCAGCTTCCCTGCATTCCGGACTTATTTATTTACTTTGCCTGCTTTGCCAAGTTAGCAAGATTTTGGTTAAGTGCTGACTTTGAGGTAGGATTTGTCGGGTGTCCTTGGGGTCCAGTATCTCATACTCAGCAGTCTAGTTCTACTCGACACCAGCTTCTCAACGGTACCTTGGACATCTTCCCAGCACCAATAGTGGTAGAGCTACAGCCTGTTATGAAAGTGGCCTTTACTCTGGCAGAGTTCTGGTGGAGTACTGACTTTGACACCAGATTGCCTAGGTGTCCTATGGATGCAGTATCTGATACTCAGTGCCTTGATTCTATGCAACGCCAGCCTTCCAATGGTACCTTGGACATCTACCTGGCACGAATATTGGTAGAGCTACAGGCTGTTAGGAAAGTGGTCTTTACCCTGGCAGAGTTCTGGTGGAGTGCTGACTTTGATGCGAGATTGCCCAGCCTTCCTTTTGATGCAGTATCTGATACACGACAGCCAGATTCTACGCGATACTGGCTTTTCAACGATGTCTTGGGTGTCAACTCAACACCAATATTGGTAGAGCTACTGTTAGGGGGTAGGTAACTCTAAAGTCAAGCGAGTATACACTAGGCCCTGTAATCTTCTGTCTCGGAGATAGTCAAGAAGGCTTGTTAAAGATAGATGTAAAGTAGAACGAATATATTGATAAGATCTCTTCTCCTGTTGCTGATGATAGACTTTAAAAGCTAGGGTATTTTTTTTTTTTTTGTTTTGACTCATTGATTATTTGTTTAGGGTACAAAAAACGTATGGAGCGCTAGCTATGACGACAAAAAACCCATATCCCTCCTCTCGCTACAGGAAAAAGCCAACCCCCCAAGCCCCTCTGGTAT